TCTTGCGTCGATTTATTTCTCAAGGACCATTGCGTATAGGTCTTTGAAAAAATTACATCCACTGCAAGTATACCTTGTTTTCTTCTTTCTAATCGTTAACTGTCGCAAAATTATAACGTTCAATTATAATCGTACATCCTTTGCAAGGAGAAACGTTACGTTTCTGGTTTTTAGCAAAATTCATTTTTGCAGAAACGAAAGCGATAGCAATCTCTCTCTCTCTCTCTCTCTCTCTCTCTCTCTGATTCAGCAATGCAAACGCATTTCGTTCTCATTCCAATGTCGGCTATATTTCGCATGCACGTCCGTAAACGGATAACGCATCTCATTAAAATAACTGTCGAGTCACATAATGGTTGCAAATGTGCATCGCAGCAGCCAAATCAAGGGCACGATCTCGGCAGCCGTGGCACGCGTTGACGCCGTATGTGCGAGCACGTGAATAGCATCGGATATAAAATCATTGTTTTCGTCCGATAAACGACCGGCACCTCGTCCAAATTGTTGTTGGCCAGCGCGGAAGCGTCACGGCGTAATCGCCAATAAATTCACTTTATAACGCAAGAAATCCCTGATTTTATTTCGAGTAACCGCGCGAATGTGCGTCTTTGCTCAACAACGACAATGATAACACAACGTTATCGGTCAAACTGCATCATTTCTTCTAACTCAAGTACCTCGAATCGCAAGTAATCGCTGTAAAAATGACTGGGAATCGTCAGCATCGTGATGTAATGTAATGTCACTTTCGCCAACGACATATCTCAGCTACCCGCGAGCTACTTCGAGGAAAACAGGACGCGTATATAGGAGGTGGAGCATAGGGCTAACGGGGGTGCACTTTAGCGCAGGAGTGCATTCATGGTTGTGCATTCACGGTTTCGCGACACTATCAGACGAGGAAGCGAGGATACGATGAATACGGCACATTAAGATGATGGACCGTAACGACGACATGTACACAACCCAGGTCCGCCCTGGCGAAAGAGGAGACGACCAGAGAGCGGAGCGTTGGCCCACGTTGCGAGATCCTCTATTGTCGTGCGCGCGCGTTTCGTCGTTGTGGATAATAATGCGACGCAATTCCCCGAAGGGACACGAATTGCATCGAGGAATCGCGACGGTCCCAACGACGTCTCTATTAATAATAGCTCGTATTAATAGTGACGGCGCTCTATAGATAGTGCAGAACTAGATGTCTCGTCTGCAAGCTGCTTATGGACGCATCATTAGTACACTTCGCAGGCACCATGCACCTCGCTTTCGCCGCCCCGGACATATAGCGATACTGTTACAGGCAATAGTAATTTCGTTCGCCGCGACAGCGCTGAATTTGATACGGTAATTTAAGCGAGACGTTGTCGTGACCGTTGCGCGAACCATCTGTCCTGGGCTTCGTAGCAGCATCGCGTAACATTTCAAGAGACGCGAGAATTATAACCGGGCGACTTCTATGCGAGAAGAATACGGGCGCTTCCGTCTCTCTCCCTCTCTCTCTCTCTCTCTCTTTCTCAAAGTAGGAAAACGAGAAACTTGTCCAACTCCTCTCAACTTTACCTGCGTACAGCGCAGAGGAGAAGAAGCGCGCGTTACTCGCGTGTAACACAATTCTGCAGAATGAGATAACGAGGTGAGATGCGCGGTGTTAACGACCACGCATTTGCCGTCCATCATCCGCGAGATTCACGCCGGCGAATTTTCCCGATGCGTTTTGACAATCGTTGATTTACGTCGGAAACGAATCTGTCGGAAAACCTGTTGCTGCAACAACGCATGCACGCAGCCATGCACGCTGTACGCACGCGGCCATCGTCCGCACGTTGTGAGCACGACAGCGGTGATAACTTGTGCATATATTAGTGCAAGTCGCCGACACGCGAAGGCAACGGTGCATGATAGATGTACTGGTGCGGACAGGTCGCCGAAGGAGGGATATTTCTACTTTGGAGATCGGCCAATGGCCGTGTGCCCCGAGACCTTATGTATTGATCTTGCTTAATCCTGCTCGAACGTTCTCATCGCCCTGGTTCATCTACGGTGCGATTATTTCATACGATGCTGCGCCTGGCACTTCGGAATCGCTCGTTAAGATCCGCGGGGTCTATTTCTGGTTAGACTTCGTCGCAGGGTGTCGCAACATCAGACAAGGATCACCGGGATCGAAATGCAATCGCGATAAAACGGGGACGACAGGGACGATAGGTGCGAATGCAGCGTGAGTTTTATACGAGTCGCAATAAAAAGAGAAAAGTAAAGTTGGCTATGACATAGCGTACATATTGATTTTCTACAGCGCTGTGTCATCACCGCACCGATTTATTTTTGTGTACGTTTATAAAAGTTCCGGCACGTAATAAGGAACGACGTGAAAAATTTATGTTAGCTATATGCAAAGATGGCATATACACCGTATCGCTGATAACGATAATTCCTCCGATGTATAACTTGTCTCTGACGGATTATTGAGCACCTGATTCGAGTGCTGTTAATACGAGGACAATGTTATCTGATGAAGCATTGTGTAATCGATTTACACTCCCGAGAGATTAATCCGTCCGTGGGATTCCTCCATGATATTTCAATGAATATTCATTGCCATGTTATTGCTCGATATACGGTATACGGTATAGATACCGGTATAGATACCAAAGTATCACCCGGTATACGGTACAGATACCAAAGTTTGTCGGGTGTAAATCACGTCTGTACAATTTGGAAGGCTCATTATCAGTTTCTTTGATACACTTACTACTTCAGAACGTGCTTGGCCAAAACCATCTGTTTTCAGCAACAGATTCCGGCATTGCACGGAATGTTACACTGTCATTCTCGAAGATAAACTTTATCAGTGTTATCATTCCCCCACTTTCCGCGGAATATCCTGAAAGCGAATATCTAAGAAATAGTAAGTATTTATTCGGTGGGTGCTGTGATGACATGTTCACTCATACTAATATAAAATATTTTTTTCAAATAAAAAAATATATATTTTCCTCAAATCTTAAGAAAACCTGGGCCTTTCATAAAAGCAGTTATTTATTCTATGTAAATAAAAGAACTTAGATTTAAATAAATATGTTATCAAAGTACTTGTACCAAAAAAATATTTGCTATTTTTGCTCTCAGTATAGGAAGGCAAATCTGATTACTCTTCGACATAGAAATGCAAGATTACTTATAACTGTCTCATTCTAACCGATGCAGATTTCATCATATACAATACAATTACATTTATTTTACACTTTGTTACAATTGATTCGTGTTGGATTTGTTTGTGCGTGAAACAATATTTGTTAGAGAGCGTCAACGGAATATTAATGCGTTAGGCGAACACAGCAAGGAATATTTATAATAGAAACAAGCATCTCAGATACGTTTATTGTCAAAGCGAGTGTCTACGACAATACCGTTTGGCACAGCAACAGGTTGAAACTTTGTTCAGCGACGGCTTCATCGGGTGACTCGACAAAAAGAAACAATCGCGTTTAAATTGATTCGCTTAACCATCGAAGATTACATTGATACTAGTTAACGAGATTGGAGAATTTTCATTGTTTATAGCGCTTTCTCTCAATTATAAAACACGGTACAAACTATTTACGTGTTATCGACTGATTTATTTTACGCTTTAACTTCTCATTTATTTCTCGCATTTAATTGCACTTAAAAATAAGATAAAGTTGAGTCACAATTTGCACAGACTAAAATCGATCAGCTCAAATTCTTGTATCGATACGGTAGACATACAAAATATCTTCAAATATACATAGTCTCTGAGCCGAAGCTTCCATTGAATTAATTTTAACGATATCCCAGTTGACCTTATTTGAAATTTCAAAACCAATCCCAATTATATCTACTTCCGTTTGTCTAGAAAATTAAAACCATCACTAATGAATACTTTGGGTGCCCATCTATAATGAAAATTTTTTGCCTATCTTGGTGAGATTTTGAGAAAAATAGTTGGCACGGGAAGTCTGAATTATCTGGTAGAATCGCTTGCCATTTCATTAGGGATTAGGGTAAAAACTAAAAATATCCGTGTTCGCACTTTGGCAAAATTATTGAGCCCTCTTCAACCATCCTCCTTCTGAATTTTTCTTCCGTAATAGACGTAGTTCCGTCTCTAATTGGCAGCCTCTAATTAGAGACCGATGCTCCCAAGAATATTCGACCGTTCGTTTCAAGCTACGAAATTTCCGTTGAAATTAATCTGCATACCGAGTGCAGACAGTGAACGACGGCGGTGCAAAAGTTCGCTCGAATGTAACGCATGTGGAATAAAATTACGGATATTCAGGCATATGTTTGACGATAAAATTTATAATAGCGGAAATGTGTGGTTCCCTCGAAACTCTATCGCATTCCCTTTGTTTTGCTTTATTGTTTAATCATTCAATTAAATTGAAAAATTGCGATAAGAATGCAGAGAAATATGAGATCTCGACGCGCATACATTATATCTACTTTCGTTTCTATTTGTCGTAAATCTCAACGATTTTTCAAGCCCCCGTCGAGCTCTCTGGGAGTTCTTTAGCCGTGAGTAAAACGTAATGCGAAGGTCGAGTGACGCTCAAGGCTGCGTAGGTCGGAGACTAATTGCCAACTAATTTGTTCTCATCGCGAGTGCGAAGGGGAAAACATTTCTTCTAGACCTCGGGCAACATCGTCCACGTTTTCTCCGATAATTGGGAGAGCACAAATCGTGATCGGCTGAATAATTTAATTTGCCCGATCGATCGCATCGAAAATAGAACTTTTTCGTCTAGTCGTGTGCATTTCAGTCCTCGGACTTGCGAAAATACTTGTGAATTTTGCTCGACGGGACTTGATGAAATACATCTGAAAGTAAAATATCGCTTATTCATAAAGAAAAGCTATATTTAACTCGTTTAGATTGTATCGTGCACAACTTGATAAATTTTGCCGACACATCGATTCCATGCGATGTTAATGTTATATTTATGATGTCACTCTAACCATATGATAACGAATTACAGGGCGGACTATTGGAAATCACAGAATCGCAAGTACTGCGACTTCTGCAAGTGCTGGATCGCCGATAATAAACCAAGTATCGACTTCCACGAGGGCGGCAGGAAACACAAGGAAAATGTCAGTAAGCGGCTCAAGGAGATACACAAGAATAGCGCGAAGCAAGCGAAGCAGAACAAAAAATTCGTGGATGATATCAAGAAGATAGAGAACGTAAGTCTTGATTGCTGATGAATTAATTAAGAGCGCGAAATGTTAATGATGAGACAATTATATATCTTCTCTCTTTTTTCGGTCAGGCTGCTATGGCTGCGTACCTGAAGGATGTGGAGAATAACACGCGAGACATGACTGCTGAGAGGATCATTAAGGAGAAATTAGACAGAATAGAAACGAAAGAGGTGAAACAAACACTACATCTAAAAATAGTTTAAATAAAAGTTAGAAAAATAGTTTAGTAAAAATAGTTAAATTTAAATATTTGCAAGTGTTATACTAATATTATCTAGCAGTATATATTTTAAACCTAACGAACAACTTTTCGGGATTTCCACGAAAATAACGAGTTTCTATCTGTACTGATTTCACGAAAGCTAGAAAATCGTCATTATATCCAAGATAACATATATTTGATTAGAAATATGATTTTATAATTTGTTCTCATATTTTATGTTACCAGACGCCTCAAAATTGCGTGCCATCAGCCGCTCCAGAAACAGTCCCGAGATTCAAAAGTAAAACTGAGCAGGTAAGGAAATCCTTGAACAGATCTTTTCATAATCACGATTCAACGATCAAGTGATATAATCGTTTATCTCCTTTATTCGTGAAATTATTAGTAAAAGCCATTTTATTTGCAAAAGCACTAACTACGTTTGATTACACGAGACCGTGTTTCTTAGAAAACTGGAACACACAACGCGAAAATTTTATTAGTACGAGACGACTTTACACTGAAACTTTTCCAGGTTTTTCCAATGGCTGCAGATCCTTGCGATCCCGCGACTTTGTCAAAGAGCATGCCATCGGTTCGTCGGGTACAACAGAGCGGTGAGAACAGGACTCCAGGGAAGAGTAAAACTAGTAAGACGAAGGGGAAAGGGAAGAAAGCCCGTGAGGACGATCGTCCGAACGCGCCCGTCAGGAAACTGTGGTACGAAGCTCTCAGTCCCGAAGGATACACATACTACTGGCACATCGAGACGAATGGTACGTATCTTCCATTAAACTTACTTTTTTATTTTCTTGCTCTCATATAATTTTCGGATATCCGTTTTTACTAAGCAGTTTCATCTCATTCATTTTGTTTTCTCTCTACCATTTTAACAACGAATTTGATCATAAATAAAAAACTAATTACTTTCGCGTTTATTCTTCCTGAAATTCAGATAATATATATCCATATATTTCTCTTTTTAATTTATTACAGTATCACCTTGCCTTATTCTTCTTCATTAACATGATAATATAAATCCTTTATTCTAAGAACTATAAAAAATATATTCTAGTTTTTTAGTTTTATCAAATTTAGATTTAAAATTGCTAAAACTTAAGTTACATCGTTGTCACATTATTACGTGGTATATATCGAGTTTTGATATTGTCTTATCAAATAAACTTGTATAAATATTATTGGTTATATTAGAGTCGGTTTGGGAGCCTCCAGAGGAAGGTTACATGACTTTCGGGGAACAAAAAGAGGAAGCGAAGGAAGAAGTACTTCAGAAGGAACTTTTGGAACAATTAGATAAGGAAGAAGCTATTAAGAAGGTGGATGTTATCGAGGAACAACGGGCTAATATCGAAAGGGAGAAGATGAAACAACTTAGAAAACATCGGCCGCAAGCTACTGTTGAAAATAACGATGCCGAAAGTGACAGTGAGAATGCGGGAGTGAAGAGAATAGAGGCTGAAGAAGAACGACCTTATAGAAGAGACTATAGTGTGCCCGAGAGACCACAACCTTACGGGTCGTGGCAAATTGTGCAGACAATGTAAATATTTGAACTTCGTATTATTCGAGTCGCCGCGATAGATTAAGATACTTTTTGCGGAGATTTATTACGCGACAGGCAAAATCTTCGCTTATAATTCTCGTAATGCCCGGCTATGTATAAAAATCAATACTTACACGTACTTTTATGTACATTTATAGATTAACTGGACATTTTGCATTTCTAACTCATATATTTTCATATATAATTTTAAAAGTAGAATAAATTATATTTTTCAATATTCATATATAAGTAAAAATTGCATACGTAAATTGATGTATATTATTTATATTTGAAATTCTTAATTCGGTTAATTGTTTTATTAGCTAATTAGTATACACTGTAGCTTTTTTTACACATCTTACTCGCACATTTAATGATATTGAATTAGCTCATGCAAAGATGGTGTAGTTTTACACGTCATCTCTTAAGTATATTGAAAGTAAACATGGAAACGTTTGATGTTTCAGTGAGAAGAAACCAATAGACCTGCAGTTACCAAAGCAGAAGCATATACAAGTACCTACATTCGAGAAGAACATAGAACGACCGCCTCTACGAAGAACTTTTAAGGAAAGAACTATTATAAAAATAAATACCGGTGATAGTGATGACGAAGGAACAGCGGTTACTTTTAAGAAACGTAAAATTGGGAATAAGAATGTACGAAAAAGAGTGACTGACGATTAATACTCATTTATAATGATAACGCAATTTTTTCTCTTTAATTTTTAATTATTAAATAAAATGTTTTAACATTTTACGTGAACAATTAAAGGGAAGTTAAGAGTAATATTTGTGGATCGGAGATTAACGTAAATAATAATCGTTACCTATATATAATGTTTTGCACAAAAACATGTAAACTTGATTCTTCAAACAATGTACGCTTATGTACATTAATATGTAAAAAATGTTAATTCTATTGTATATAAATGTCTGAATCCTTTACATTAAAAAGTTTTAATTAATATAACATACGTGTAATATACTATGTATATATGTATATAACATTATTTGGTTTAGTTTATAAGACTCCTTTTTAAAAGGAAATTTCCTCTTTAAACTTATCACAAATGAACATAAAAACGTACATATTTGATTTACATAACTTATCTTTTCTGTAGACTAAATTGTAAATTGGAAAAACACTTCATATAACACACGTATAAAATAAATACTTAAGAAGTGCTAAGAAAATATTCCAAACTACAAGCGTCGAATAAATACAATGAGCTAGATGTAAAAACTAGTAAAGATTCAAGAAAACATTAGCGAACAGATTCGTGAAAAATTATACAGTAAAAAATATACATATGATATTAATTTGCCTCTTCTTCGCCCAGCATTTTTAAGTACTAATTAGATATATGCATGCAATAATATCTTCACACATGAACCGCGTGTATCGAGTGTGTATCAACGATGTGCTTCGCGTTGTTCTCACTCTTTGTACATTGTTTCCCGTTGAGTTCATTCACTACATCCTCGCGTAGCCGTCCTTTGGTCTCCGGTAGTAACGCGAAGCTGAATAGGAAGCTCAATGCGCACGAGATGGCGAGAAAGTAAAAACTGCCGTACATGCCAAACAAAACAATTAAATTGGAAAACACCTTTACCATGATGAAAGCACCGATCCAAAGGCAGTACAAGCCTACTGATGTTGCCAGACTAGTTATATCACGGCTAAATATCTCTGCCGTCACGATGATGGGCACACCGCCCATTCCTAAGGAATATATCACCATAAAAGTGGACAATGCGACTAGCGGCACCCAACCAAAAACGGATACGTCATATCCGAACTCTTGGAAATAGCAGAACGTGCCGACCACACTGTGGCATAAAACCATTCCTGCGCAGGATACGAGAATCAACAACCGTCTACCCGCGCGCTCTATTAAGATCGACGTCAGGAACGAGCCTAAAAGTTGCATAGTCGCAACAATGATAGATGCTGCGTTCGGGGATAACGAGCTGCCAGATAGTTCGAATATGGTTTCTGTATAAGTGAGCTATGAATGAAAAAATAAAAAATTGAAATTAATTCATTTTTTTATGTGTTGGAATTTGCAACTAATTAATATTCAAATGGAAGGAATTGATGGAAGGAGTTGCTAAATAGTTATCGACAATTACCATCGCGAAGATTCCGCATAATTGTTGTCCAAAGAACAAACCGCAGACAATTATCAATCCTTTGATCGTTGCTCTATCCCGAAATAAATCCGACCATTTGGACTTTGTGACCGTGTCAGTTTGGTTTATTTTCGCCTGCAGATACGACAATGTACGTTCCGCTACCAAACTATCTCCAGCTTTTAACCATATCAAAGACCTAGAGAAGTAAATCACAGCATCATTACGTAATAGTTCTAAAAATAAACTAGTTTGCATTTTGTTTCTTACCTAGCCGCTTCTCGTATACGATTCTGACGCACCAGGTAGACTGGTGATTCTGGGATCAAGGTAAAAGCGATAAGATACAACACAGGGTTTACCAAATTAATCATGGCGAAGACCCTCAAAGACAACATGCCGCCCAGGATATAAGCCAATAATATGCCTAAATTTATGGCGAACACCAGTACACTTCCTAATAGACCGCGTATGCTGTCGTCTGAAATCTCCGACACGTACATTGGCACGAAAAACAATAAACCACCACCACATATACCACATAAAAATCTACTTATATAGATGTGTATGTGCTCGGTGGCGAAAACGATTATCAGCCAAGAAATAAACAATGGCAACGCTAACAGGTAACCAAATCGCTTTCGACTGTATCTATCGGGTATTATCGATAATAATACAGTCATCAAAAGGCCGCTCAAACACAAAATACTACTCAACCAAGACACATCTTCGTCCGTCATGGGTTCACTTCCTACAGGTGGAGATGAACTCTGTAGCTGCGGAGCGAACGGTGATTGAAATCCGATTATTATGCCGTATGCTATCATCAAGATATTCACTGTGAAGATAATGAAATGTAATTACCTAAATAATACGAAATTTTAGAAAATGTTTCAAAGACATCCTAATTCGTCAGATGTCCATGAAGTGTATTATTAATGCTAGAAGTCCATTAATAATATCTCAAGACGAAATGTCTATAAACGACATAGTTCACTTATCTTTTAGAACTTTCTATTATATTGCGTTATTCTTTGATATTCCGAAAAATATTGTGTATATATATATATATATATATATATATATATATATATATATATAAATGTATATATGTATTTATGTATTTATAACCATAACTTAAATAAACCATTTTCTTAATTTAATTTTTAGATTATACATACTGAATCATGTAATATTTGTTTTTTGTTTTTGTTTGTTTTTTCAATAAGTCAATTTAGAATTATTAATATAGGGATTGAGCTAGTCCCTTCCACAGACAACACAATCTACTAAAAAATGTCTTAAAGACGTCCAAAAGACGTCCTTATTCCTTTTGAATGTCTTTAAGCAGTTTAGCAGTTAAGATATCTTTTAGCAGTTTGTGCTATTTGGGTTATATCACTTTTGAACATTAACTGTGTATCAGATGATAAGAATAGTTGTATATCAGATGATAAGAATAGCTCCCGTTTGCTTTCTTCAATTTGTTTATTTTTAGAACACCGATTATAACAAAAAAAAAGAAAATATTTTTTTTAACGATAGAGAACAGTTCAATTAGGGTAGACTGAGGCGAATCGGATCAATATAAGCTCTAAGACAGTTATTATTAATATTTTGTTTTAAATGAGCTGTTTTATCATGCCAGTTAGTAACTGTTTGTGAGCTAGTGAGCTTATATTGATCCGATTCACCCTGTGATCCGATTCGCCTCGGTCTACCCTAAAAGATTTCGGTGTATCCGTGCATTAATCATGAATCTTTTCCCCTAGCATGAATTTATGAAAAGTAAAAAATTTCATTGACGAATTTAATGAAACTTTTCACGAGTTTATACGGTGGAAAAAGATATCCTTGGTAAAAAAAAAACTTTATAGAGAACAATAGAATAAAATAATCATTTTCTATCATTTTGAATATGGATTTTGGTTCATGAATTCACAAATTTGAATAGTATTCTATCGTGTACAATGATATCAATTTGAATCGTTTTCTTTAAACTATATCGTTCTCGCTCGCAAGTTTAGATATAAATTTTATCGTATTTTATCGAATTTTATCTGATTATACACGATTTTGTATTCTAGTTGTATTCTTGTTAGTTTCCTATACAAAATAGTGTATAATTAGATAAAATACGATAAAATACGATAGGATATTTAAACTTGCGAGTGAGAACGATACTCTACTGAAAAATTTCTATTGAAATAACAATAGAATTCCTAATTCAATTCTCAGTTAAATTCTTAATTGAATTCTCAAATGCGGTTTCCGCAAAAATTCGCATGTAAAATCTCAATTGAGATATTTGTATCTGATGGAAATAATTTATTGAAAATATAATGAACTTTTGCTGAAATGCTTTTGAAAAGCATTCACAATTTTGACTCAATTTCATTAAAATTTTATTATAATTTCATTAATATTTTGATAATATTTCATTAAAAATGTAAAAAATTCAGTGAAAAATCATTATCAATTAAAATAGATTGAGAAAAGTGTAATGAAGTATTATTTTGTCTAAATAATAAAAAAAACTGCCATTTCATATTTTGTGTTGTTTCATTTATTCGTGAGATTTACGCGGGATTCGATCCCATATGTCACACGGCATCATCTTTAGATGACTATGCGCTGTTCATCAAATGTCTAACCTCAACGATCGTATGGGAACTGATGATAGCTATCCGCTATAACGATATCGTGGTGGATTGTATTTACAATATACTCTTATAGCGTTTAAAAATGTAATGACATATTTGTCGGTAAATGTTTCAAAGAACATAATAACAATCACAATACGATTAATATTGATACAACGTAGTATAACTAATCAAACTTTAACATAACTTTAACGTGCTCACAAAAGAGAGAGAATTCCTTCTTTCTCTCTCTTTTGCGAGCACGTTGTATGTTTAAATTTAATTAGTTATACAACATTGTATCAATATTAATCGCATTGTGATTGTTGTTACGTCCTTTGAAACATTTACCGACAAATATGTCATTACATTTTTGAATGCTGTAAGAGTATATTGTAAATATAATCTACCATGATATCGTTACAGGCTATTGGTATTACTAGTTCCAGTACGATCGTTGAAGTTTAGGCATTGACCATCGCATAGTCATCTAAAGATAAATGACCGTGTGACACGGGATCGGATCCCGCGTGAATTTTACGAATAAATAAAACGACACAAAATATAAAATGACAGTTTTTTTTTTATTATTTAGACAAAATAATATTTCATTATACTTTTCTCAATCTATTTTAATTAATAATGATTTTTCACTGAATTTTTCTACATTTTTAATGAAATATTATCGAAATATTAATGAAATTATAATGAAATTTTAATGAAATTGGGTCAAAATTGTGAATACTTTTCAAAAGCATTTCAATAAAAGTTCATTATATTTTCAATAAATTATTTTCATCAGATACAAATATCTCAATTGACATCTTACATGCGAATTTTTGCGGAAACCGCATTTGAGAATTCAATTGAGAATTCAACTGAGAATTGAATTGGAAATTCTATTATTATCTTAACAGAAATTTTTCAGTAAGGTACAGCTTAAAGAAAACGATTAAAATTGATATCATTGTATACGATAGAATACTATTCAAATTTATGAATTCGCGAACCAAAATCCATATTCAAAACGATAGAAAACGATAGAATTTTATTCTATCGTTCTCTATAAATTTTTTTACCAGAGATATGATCGATACCCGAAGAGAAAAGGTATTTCTTCTTCCTTTCCAACTTACCAATTATCGCGGCGAGGAACTGCCGCCACTTGCCCGGATTTGACAGTGGTTTCTCACACTTTTCCATTGCACGTTGTTTTTACAAAAAGCGAAATTAAACCAGTCTTATGTTTTAGGACCGTCGACAACGGGCATATGAAATTCGCGAATGAGCGAAGTACGGAGACGCATCAACATAACAACGAAAACGATAGCTCGTTACATCTTGCACTCAGCTCGGCTGTTGAGCTTTAATTTCATTTATAGTCATCATCAATCCCACAGAAATTCACTTATCGGAAGGGGTACTCTTATCGCGCTGAGTTTAACACATCTATATATATGACAAACACGTGTGTATCGTTTTATCAGATTCATCATTAGCTTTATTTGAAAATCGACTTTTCCCATATAGCACAACTTTTTAATAGATATCCTAAGAACGTTCTAAGAATTTTCGAATATTCTTAGATTGTTCTTAGGATATTTATTGAACATTTATGCTGTATGGGTTACTATTACATTAAAAAAATACAATTAACACAAATTTTACAAATGACATATATTTGATGCGCGTTCGGTATCCACACAGCAGAGATATCCAAAATATATCATAGAGATATCCTAAAGATATATTTGAGATATGCGATATCTTCAAGATATCCCTATGATGTATTTGAGACATTCTTGCTGTGTAGGGTAAGTTTTCTATTTCAATCTACTTTGCTGCATTATGTCAATACATGTATTAATTACTCATGATAATAAAAGAAAACAATATTTGACTTAATTATGTATTGCTAAACAGTAAAATACTATTGCTAGTATCTATTACCCAAATAACACAGATCTCCACAAGACATCCTCTAAACATTTTGAGAACGTCCCTACGTCCTGAAAATAGGGCATCTTCTGGAGATCTTGTGCTGTCTGTATGTAGATCTGTCTTGTGCGAATGTGTTGTCTAAAATAATCGGAGGAGAGAACCAATAGAATGTCTATGTCGAATAATTGTATAAGTTAAATGTAGAAGTGAATAGTAAAATATAAACATTTATTAAAGACTAACGTAAATACTAAAAAAGAAACATTTTTTATTTCGATACCTTTAACAAGTGACAGATATTTGAAAAAATAATCTTATATAATTATAATCTAATTTATTGAGTGTACGGAAAAATATTCTTTCCTGGTTACACTGAGATAAATCAATATCAACATTGAATTGCAACTTCTTATTTAAGTTAAGTAAACAAAGCTATTCAATCGTTTCGCGTATTTGAAGTTTCCGCTTCAAATGATTTATATTCATATCAATCTCAGTGTTTCGTGCTTAATTAATATGACAATCACGTCGCTAGAATGAAGATATCTTTTCGTAGAGTGACGTTTTCTTTATCACGTCTTCTCCGTTCTAAATTATCATGACAGATTATTAAGCATATATCTTCCGTTAATGATTTACTATCGACGTGTTTCTCCGAATCACAAAAGAGAACTAATTTACGATGTGTCGCTGTCACACCTTACAATCGCTCATTAATTGACTAAATTACGTCTCAGCGCGAAAAGTGCTAATTACAATGTAGAGAAAGCTCATTCACGCCAATCACACGATCAACGCGTGTGTGGAATTTCCTCTTATTTAAACTTTGCGCGTCGTTTCCTACGCTGCAATGATACCAACCAATTTGCAGCAATACGATTTAAGGCCCATCTACAATGACCGTAAAAATATGGCAATAAGAAGTAAAAATAAAAATTGACCAAACACAGTCAAATGTGAGAAGAATAATCAACTATGATTGATTAATTTCTTACTCTTACTTCTTACAGCCATTTCTACAGCCATTATAGATTGGCTTTTAGGTTGCATTCCCGTTCACGTAAATACACGCATTTTTTACAATATAAGAGAGATAAACTATAAATAAATATGTGCATATATATCCGTGAAACGAAACACGGTCTTACATTATCTAACATGCAATATGACCTAGCCAATCTAATTCTCGTAAGAATGTTTGAAAAACTTATTTTCAAATTATGACGATTGAACCGCATCCAAAATGCGCATCCTTTGATCGCGAAAACGTCGACGCGAGACGTGACGTAAGTAGCTTTACACAAGTGCTTTACAACAGTTACGTAACTCAGTGAGTGATTTTCTTGCAACAGTCAACAAACGCGTTACGAACATTACAAAAGTAATTTTTTATTTATCTATTCGTCGCGATTACTTCTTGTTCTGAAAAATAACGAGATCGAACATTGTTATTTTACTTTACAATTTTTGACGCTTGAAAATTCTTTAAGTAACATAATTTTGTAAAACTCTCGTTACGAGACTTTCGAATCTCTATTAACAAAATATTGTTTAAAAGATTATCTTTAAAAGTATTTTAAAGGATATTTTTAAAAGGTTATTTAACGAAATTCAAATTTCATAAATTATAGCGCGTCGATAGACCTTATCTCGCGTGCGAGAAGCGAATCGATAGTACCCCATCAGCTGTTTATTCCTCCCACCAGAAGTACACTCTTGTAGTCGCTACCTGTCTTCACGGCCATATTGGGCACGCACATACAGGAGAAATGAAAATGTTCCACGGTAAATGAGGTCCCTCTGAAGCTCTCGAGGTATATATGCATTATCTTTCGTTCTTCAAACAAATTACGATTATGCACGATAATTATTTGCGTAAGAATCCTGATCTGCGTCAGTTGGTTATCAGAGATCGTCAATGAGTTCTGTTTGTTTGTCAGTATGCCTGTATGTTGTTTTACGTAGGCAGACGTGTCTGGTTACAATACGCAGCCTGCGAATCGTAACAAGCAGACCACGAAGCATGGCATGGCACTGCAATGGCACTACGAATCAAGAGATGGTGACGAAGTTGAAAGGTAAACGACCTCTGTGTTCATCACAGAATGTAAACTGCAGAGGGTGACTTAATTGTACTGATAACAGTGCTGAGTGTTTCTTTAGAAACAATCGTTTCAAATGGCAATTAGAGACAGATTATTCGCAGATGCTGGTATATTGGCGACAGACAGAGCAGAAGCCGCTATGCTAGCTGTTGACAGAGCGAAATATTGCCACGAGTCAGATCCTTACCTTGACCGTCCCAGGAGAATTGGTTACAATGTGACAATCAGTGCACCACATATGGTAAGTACACAAGTATCTTTTATCTCATACAAAGCTGGCATTTACTCAGACCTTTATGTGATGAATAAATTTGTACAGATTATCTTGCTTTATATAAAGTGTGCGGTAGATAAAATATAAATAGATATAAATATAACACGTGTATATAATATTACAATCATAATTGCTAATAAATCTAACTTACAAACTGTTGATATAATTTCTACACATATTCCCAAACATACATGCCATATATTGCATACACTGCAATCTCACAATCTATATTCGACATCTAACATTTATTTTTTGTATAGGATACTAATTGTTTTTTTATTTATTACTTATAAATTATATTCTTAGAGAGAGGAAGAGAAAGAGAGAAGAGATAGATACAAGTATCTATATGTATACACAAAGATACACACGTACATGGAACAATTATCGGGAATACAGCCTGAAATGAGGGCATCTGACCTTTTATCGCATTTGTACGTTATTTACGTTAAACTCATATTTGATTCTTGTTGGTTGGAGATTTTCCGATGCGTCACCAGCGTAGATAATCGCTATTGAAAGATAATTGTCGCTCGACGAACGCGTTTAATTTATTCAATGAAGATTCGATAAGTCACACAGGTTTGTCGTATCTCTTGCAGCATGCGTACGCATTGTCGATTCTCTCCGATCAACTCGTCGACGGCGCCAAGGCACTAGACGTCGGTTCGGGCTCGGGCTACCTGTCCGCCTGCATGGCGTTCATGGTGGGCTCGCGCGGACGCGTGATAGGTATCGAGCACATACCCGAGCTCATAGAGATCGCCACTAGGAACGTGCGCGAGGACTGTTCGCATTTCCTCAAGGAGGGACGCATCAGATTTGTCGGTAAGCCGGTGCCCGATTAACGTCGCCCGTTATCGCCCCTTGTTATGCTCCTCCGTAACAGACAGTCGAAGTTCCTCCTCTCGCCAGTGTTGCGCCATTCCCTCATACGTCTCTCGCTGTGACACGACACAATCACAGCACGAAAGAATAATACCGTTCGTCATACGACAGCAAAAAAAAAAGAAAAGACAAAGCGCTCGAAATCACAGAGTACTGCTATGCGTAATTCAAATAAAAGATACTCATGATCCGTCCACGGATGGAGTTGGTATGTACGGTTAACGTGAAGAGTCGAACGGAACACTGTTCACCCGACTGTGTGTCTTTGCTGTAAAGGTAAAAGATAAGAGACTGCCGACTAACGACAGGTCATTATGAATGCGCCTAGTGGGAGACGGCAGATTGGGATATCCTGATGAGGCCCCTTACAACGCTATACACGTTGGAGCAGCGGCCGACACTTTACCGCAAGAGGTGAGCACGACGACGCATTCGCGCCTGTTGAAACAGGATCGAGGATTATGTCGCGGGAATTGACGCTAAATATCATGCTTTTAGTTACAAGCACGAGCCGCGTTAAGGCTCCTGATTTCTCGTCGAATTGCGTTACATTATGACGTTAAGAGGGAAAGAATCATTTAAATTATTTTCTATTGCGCGAGAAACTTGATTTATTTATAGCTACAGTGCGATAAGAGTATGCCTTTTCGTCTCTGATGTATGTAATTTATTATGGACGCAGTAAGAAATTAGGAGCGTTAAAGCAAGCTTCTTGTTGATCATTTAATGTAAAGAATAGCGCATGTGAGAAATTGTAACACCGTGCTTGTGTGAACGACATGATTTTTAAAGTTGATAGACCAACTAGCTCCCGGAGGTCGACTGATCTGCCCGGTCGTGGCCATACAAGGTTTCCAAAGGTTCCAAGATCTGCTACAGGTGGATAAGAGCGCAGACGGCGCGGTTACAAAGAAGAAGCTGATGCAGGTTTCCTATGTACCTCTTACGGATCCCACTACTCAGTTACGTAACACGAGTGTTTAGGTATTTGTGTCTTACGATAGACATACAATTCGAGTGGGCGGTTAAACGAATTGCGCGCAGAATCGCCTATCAATGATAATCGGGATTTTTTTTCTCATTAGTTTTTCTTTCTTTTCACGCGTACAACGCCGACTTAAGCTTCTCGCTTAGGAGTGAATTATACTAATAAATTATATTTTACATATATCTCTTTTATGTTAATTATTATATACATTTTTCCAGTTATATTTAACAAATGATACGATTGCCACAATTGTATTCGACGCGTCACGTCATCCATTCTTCGCTATTTATTCCTATAAGATCTTAAATTTGTTACAGCATTGATGTCCTTACCAGTTTGTTTTACAAATATCCTAATATCCAAAGTGTAAAACTTAATACTCACGTAAATCTTCGTGTATAGAGGGAGAATTGTAAGAAGGTTAATGATAAGAAAATAAACTTTTTTAACAACGAGGTAAAATATACGATTTTATTTCTACTACATTTCACTCGTCCCACTCCCACAGATCTGAATTTAGAGTTAAATTTGAGTTTTTTATTTGAATCATATAATGTATGTGACATTAAATTTGTAATCGCAATTCGACTTACATCTAACTCTAGATTCAAATCTATTTAGTAATGGTTGTCACCTGAAATTTGTCTCAGTTGAGGTGCTCAGATTTTTATTCAAAGTCTAAGCTTTTTAGTAAAGAAAATGATGATATATATGATATTTATATATATAACCATGATTCAATTAAAATCTCTTATCTAACTCAGAATTCAAATCTGAGTATCTCAATTGAGAAGAGTTTCAAGCAATAACTTAATATGGGACTAAATATCGCATCTGAAACAAGTTCCAAGAATGAAGGTCAATTATTCGCAAATCATGACAACCATGCATCATGATACCGTTAAACATCACCGTCGCAATCTCGATATATTGAATAGAGTTACGCGAGCGACAGATTGAACGATCATACGGCGTTCACCGAATCAAACAACTCTCAAACATATTTTCAAACATGATGCACATTCGCGCGCAAAAGCTCAATGTCGAAGGTCGCGTGCCCGATTGCTCAACAATTTCTGATAATCTTGCAATCTGCGAGTGCGATCTATTTAATGGCTTACGGACGTCACGTATGCCATTAGAACGTTTTAAAGTGTCTAGTGGATTATACGCCACGTCGCCTCAAGTCGTTACAATTTTCGCGAAATTTGTCAGTACTCAAAGTGATAAGAAACAATTAAAACACACATTTAATTGTCGTGTCCTAAGTCTACGTTGAGCGGAACAAGAAAGTTGCTGGTAGAGCAGTGGCAAACGTAACTACGTCGTTCGTTTCGATATATCCTCAAATCGAGGGATACCGAGTGCGCATCGCAGAATCGAGCGGTGTTTGCGAGTAGGCACGGTAACTGCCGAGTAGTCAGAAGCGACAGGTTGCCGGCAGAGCAACCTCGTGTCTGTTTTCGCCGACGAGCCGACCGCCGCCAAGACGTATCACCTAATAATTCGGCCGCGTATTTTTGAGTGTCTGTGCACGACACTCGCAATTCTAACACCTGTTGTGTTATCACACAACATGCATGGACGTTATCATGGCAAGAACAATCAGGAACTCGTACAACATCTGAAACGTAAGTGAACGACAATAGCGCATAAGCTGTTATGCAATGTTGTGTCACATCACGTTTCGCTACCGGTGACACACCATCTGTCCTTACATCGAGAACATTTCGTTGATTTAAGATTGCGACGTAATACGTTTACGAGATATTTTGAGTCCGCTTTATTTGAATATAAGCCAATAAATTTTTAACTCGGAAATTATATAAATGGATGAGCACATTTTTATATTCAAATTTTTCATGTTTAGAGTATGCCATGGGAGGATTAATGAGAAATGCTAAATTTTTTAAAAATACTTGGGAAATGTGTGATTTCACGTTTTACATATAGTTCTACTTGTTTCTTTATAATGTATATCTATAATGTATAAGTTATTGAATGAGAACTGTAATACATATGAAACATATATATAATATATATATGTATGAATAAATTTTTTTTAGGAAGCAGGATGATTAAATCTGACAGAGTGTTTGAAGCAATGAGTTCTGTGGACAGAGGAAAATATACTCATCCCAGTCATGCTTATGTAGACTCTCCACAAGGAATTGGTTATGGTGTTACCATTAGTGCTCCTCATATGGTATAACTTTTTGTTACTGTAGTTGTTTTCCTCTTATATACTAAAATTTTCTATTATATTCCTCTTTCTATTATTCTATTATTCTATTAATTCTATTATTTTCCTCTTATATACTAAAATAGTTTTTAATTATTATAATTTCTTTATCACATGAACTACAATCATAATGTTTCATAAATGTTTCATAAATGTTTCACTTAAACATGACTTATTACTCATTTTTATCAATAGTAAATAAATGTATGCTCTGACAAACAAAAAATTCTGAATCAAAATATAAATTCTTTAGCATGCATATGCCCTGGAATTGCTTGAAGAAAAACTTCGTAATGGTGGCAAAGCACTGGACGTTGGCTCTGGATCAGGATACTTGACAGCATGCATGGCTATCATGATGGGACCAAATGGTTTGGCTGTTGGGATTGATCATATTCCTGAATTGCGAGCAATGGCTGAAGAAAACATTCGCCACGATCACCCGGAACTCTTACGTGATGGACGTGTGGAATTAGTCGGTAAAATAAAATTTCACTTTTAAATATTAATAATTCAAAACGATAATAAAATAAATCAATTTGTAAGGTTTTATTTAATTCTTCCAAGCACAAAGCTGGAATCACACGATGCACAGTTTTATACTTTTTTATATGCTGATCAAATCATCAAACAGTTCAGTTTACTGCATGAATTGCTGTGATATATTGCAAACTATATGCAGTAAACTGACCTGTTGTGACTTGTTCAGCTTACCAATTAATATGCATAGAAGACAGAATTGTGCATTATGTGATTCCAGATTAATGCATGTTATCTAGATCTTATCAATAATTTTTTCTTTTTCCTTGCATGTTATTGTATATTTCACAAAACGTGAATGTAATCAAAACTCTTCAATCAACTAAATTTATTTAGTTGGCGATGGAAGATTGGGCTATCCTGATCGCGGTCCGTACGATGCTATACATGTGGGAGCAGCGGCTAAAGAATTGCCACTACCGGTAAGAAGAGATTTCTTGATTTTAAATTTTGTTCTTGGTAGTTGTGGAGTAGGCGTTAACTATGGCGGTACCATCTGATTCTTTTACAGTTGATAAGTCAATTAGCACCCGGCGGGCGTTTAATATTACCGATGGGCCCTGAGAACTCTGACCAGGTCTTAGTGCAAATCGACAAAACTATGGACGGCAAAATCGAACGACGATCTTTGATGAGTGTGGTCTTCGTGCCATTGACTGACAAGGAACGACAGTATCGTCGATCATGAGATATGTGTTTGCTGCAATAAGTCAGCTTATTTGTTTGTAATGAATATTATTTTATTTTTTGAGTAACATCGTATATAGAAGCAGCTCTGATAGTCGTGCAAAAATATATATTAGATTAAAAAGAGTAAAAAGATAATTGCAGTAATTTGCAAGCACTATATAGATCTGTACAAATGCTTTTATTGAGCAATATAATGATAAAGACAAATTCAAGTTTAGCACGAAAATATTTTGATATGTTAAGATTAATTTTTACGACACTATTATTTTTATTTATTATAAAAAGATTAAAAGCAATATACTTCACTATGGGCCTGGTCCAACAACTGCTACAAATGTAAACTCCGCAGCGTTTTTCCCTCTTGTTCTATTCCTCGGATTCGAATGAAGAAAGAGAAAGAAGTAAAAACAAGCTACAAAGCATTTGCAGCGCTTGTTGAACCGTACCCTTTGACTTTCACTTGTAAGAGATCTAGTTTTATATCTAAATATACATACTGATATTGATTGGTTAAATTTTCTAGTCACTTTCAACTCTTTAAAGTATATGAAAATATGGTGCTGAAATAAAAATAAATTAAATCTGAGATGGCTATGAAAGGTACAGATTATATAATATTAATATAAAATTTTTCACCTAACTTGCTGAAGCTTAAGCAAAGTTTTTCTTTACAAATAAAAACAAACAAAAAGATTTCTATTTTAACTTAATATATTATAACTTAATATATCATATATATAATATATAATCTATTATTTGATTGTATAGCTTATTATTTACCTAATTCATAATAATCTCGCATTAATTTTTTCAAAATACACTCATTAAATGCAGAAAAATATTACATAATTAAATATTTATTGGTAAGGTACATGAAATTGTTTACATGTATATACAAAGGAAATTTATTTCTTTATGCACAGTGCTCATCATCTATTTTCTCTCGTCAAGTGTATTATATCTTCTATTTCTTCAAATGTATAAGTGTTATATTAAAAAATATATGTAACACAAGTGACTAGAATTACACGTTACTATAAATACTTTGTGTATTTATGTTTCTTTTATATCCTATATACATGTTGGATAATTGTTGTAATCATACAGTTTGTCTTAAATTATACAAATACATTGTATTTTATACGTTATATAAAGATATTAAATCTACGGAATGTGATTTGCTCAATATATCAGTGATGTATGATCTTTCAATATTAATAATAATTCGACATGTCTCGTCAATTATTATGTTATCCCCTGCACATAAGATGCGCCATATAAAATAATAGTAAAATAAATGGAACAGTAATTTTATTGTGTAATCGTAAGTATTGTTACAACTGCTTATCTAGATATAGTCAAACGCTTATCTCGACATATATTTTCTTATGCAAAAAAACTTAACGAATTATTCTTAGTTAAGCAGCTGTGTAAACAGATAATTAAAAACCTTCCATAAAAATTATAAAATTATAAAACATTGATAAAAATCCGAATATAATACTGTTTTAATTCTTTTGATTAATGCAATTAATTGAATCCAAATGGTTCAAAAGAAAAAGAATTACAAATATCAATACTTAACATGTTTCATACCGCGTGCGTCAGTAATCCACAATGAATTTTTTTGTTTTAGGCTATTTGATATTTTAACTATAATAAAAACTATAAATTAAGATATATTTAATATCATTGATTGATATATAATTATGTATAATATAAGTATAATATCGTGGGTCATTGATGACATATATAATCATCGATTAAATTAAAACCACCAGGAATGATCGCCATTGGCTCGATTGTATTTATAATTTAAATTCGTTAAAGACTTATGGCGAATTTGATTAGAAGCACTACTGCATACCATTGCACATTAATACCGTTTCATAATCAGTTCTTATATTTATCTTAAATTCGTCTCCGAATGTTCCGTAACCAATACGACAATTTGTATAGCATTTGAAGATGAATATAAGACAAATTTTAAATATGAGATAAAACTCTATAAATACAGCTGAAATATAAAAACAGACTATGAATCTTAGTATACATTGATGCTTTCAATCGAATTCGCCATTATAAACTTGTTAAAGACTAATAAAATACTAATAAAAACTATTATAAATTAACTTTCGTCTATCTCATAGAGACAAAAAATTAATACAAATCTTCAACAATATGTCAGTGTGGTGATCGAGAATAATCGAATAGACTTATTAATATTGTTATGGTCAAGAGCTCATTACTAATATGCTGCCTCATGATTTTTACTTGATTTCAGATATACAAAAGGCAGTGAGATGATTGTATCTTCATATATACATTTTTGTCTGTCAGATATTAGAGAATCTTTACCATGTACAAACTAAGTGCAGCGCCAGATGCTAATCCTATACCCAAGAAAGCACCCATCATTGCGGACGCAACTTCCTTCTCTTGACTGTCCACAACTCTGCGAAGTCATACATAAATATAGAGTATATTCCGCGACCGTGGCAGATTCTTGCGGTCGAAGATACTTACGTGGGCGCGAGAATAAACGTTAAATTGCACAGATAACCATTAGTCACGGCGAACACGATAGTTATTAGAATGTAATACAGGTCGTTGTGAATATAAACAGGTAGATGATGTCTCGGTTGCGCATTGCAGAACATCAGCACGGGTATAAAAACGGCTCTAAGAATGCTCAAGAATATCACGAGCCATGGCTTGCCTCTTGGCTGCAACAACATGAAAACTTGTGTAAACATTGTATAAATATATGTATAAATTGTGTAAACATTGTATAAATACATGTATCGTAAATTATAACAAAGAGCAGGTTCTCACCCATTGAAAAATTCCGGACAGTACTCTTCCGGCGTAATCGCCCGTACTGAAGATTAGGTACGTGACCACAGGTACAAAGTATACGTCTGAAATAATATGGTAAATTTAACATGGTATATTTTAGGTGTTCACAAATTGATCATTTGAAATTAGCAAGGCATCGTATATTACAACTCACCATTCCATGCATGGCCTTCGCCTTTGTATTGGCTCTCCACTAATACAGTGACTGCCGGATACACAGCCAACGATATGAAGAATACTAGAAATATGCTAACTCCATAATGCCAGATCCTCTTAATAATCCGCATGTAAGACGTGCTTGGACCGGCCGAGAAGCCGACTTCCTCGCTTGTGGGGTAATCGGATTCCAAACGATCAGGTACTTTCTCCACCATGTGATATTTGAAAAAAGGCTATAAAAGAAACGCCACCAGAGTTTTCACCAGAACTTTGAAACTTAATCTCGATATTGTTTTGCAACAGTCATAAATAAGCGCGCGTGATCGAAAAAATGTTAGAATCGATGAATCATATGGAATTCTATTTTAATCTAAAACAGATTGCGCGTCGATATAAAGCTATGACACATGTATAATGCATGTATCGTAAGTAACTTATCATATATTATGAGACATGTGCGTAGCGTATGTCATTGTTTTAAAGAAACAACAGCTTACTGACATCTCGTTACATGTGTTAGCACATATGATATCAATTGGACTGTGAGCTGCCGTAAAATAAATTTCAAGATATTCGGCATATATTCGAAAAAAATGACTTACCGCTCTCTCCAATATGATATACGCAACTAGTGATAACAGTAGCATGACATCGCCGATAATAAAGTACACCAAACCGGAGAGCACAGGGCTGGCACCTATCCATAGAGAGCATACTTCTGCTAGGGCTGTGAATATCCCACCGAGGGCTTGTCCACCCGACATAGCGGTTATATATTTTGGCGAAAATTTGCCCACTATACCCATTAAGCTTCCTCCAAAAATGGCGCTTGCAGCTAGAATCCATACCATGTATACCGTTCTTTTCTGACAACATATAATTAATCACTACTTTGTCTTAACGTAATGAACATACCATTCACAAATGCGACCGTCGTTAATGTAACAACTAGGAACATATCTTGCCCTAAACGTATATTAATTATTAATTTCTTGTTTTTAAGACAAAGAAATGAGGAAAGATAATTTTAATCATTATATGAATGTATACAATATTGATTGATGACTCACACTTATCTGTATTTATCTCCACAAACGTAGTGGTCAAAATAAATAGCAACAATATTGTACATTGAGAACCCACCATTCTTATTGTTAGAGAAATTCTGGAAATTTAAGGATTATAAAACTACTACCTTTCAGTATAAGGTGATTCAGAATTAAATGAATAACTAGTTAAAAAGACATTAATTATTAATAATTCTATATATAAAATATAGAAAATAATTTGAATAATAATTTCAGAATCAAGAATAAACCAAAGATAAATAGTGATCTTGAGTTTTTCCACTCACCTGTTACTAATAAATGTATTTACTATTAAGAAAAGAGTATTTGGCAATGCACTGGCTACACTTAAATAAGAAGTAAAACTAGCTTGAAGATCTGTCTTTTGCGCAAGATTTTCTACATGTGTAGTGGTAAAGTTTGTCGAATTATTAATTTCTCTAAACTTATACATCCAGTACTGAAAGAAAAATGTCAAGTAAGAGACAATATTTCAGATGATTTTAAAAGAAGTAAAAAATTCTCACTTACATCATCAGCAGTCATAAAAAAACTCCATGGGATTAATGTATTTACACCAAGTAAGTAAAATACAATATATGCAAGATTATATCTAAACAAAGAAAGATACATATAAACAAGGATAAAAATAAACATCATTGATATACAGCTTTCAAATTGTAATATTGGAGCATACTTGTCATGTGGTTCATATGGTTTCAAAAATGGTTTCTCATCAGAGATCACAGTGTGAGGATCATCTACCTCTGTCTCTAAGTCGCCTTCAAATTCACTGTCAGATGTACCCCATAGCAGGGGTCTTCTATTGATAGAGTATGACATGATTTCTTCCTAGTAAGTAACAAATTGTATAATAACTTATATAGTAAATGCAAAAATGAAAATGAAAATAGAAATATATATGTGTACATATATATGTATCTATATAAATACTGCCAGAAGGATGCAAGGTGATATAAGATAGATGAAAGTAATTATTTCTATGCTTTGCTAGTAAATATTAGTGTAAATTTTGCTTGATAAAATTATGATAATTGTAGATCATTAAATAAATAAGAAGAAAACTGTTATAGAAAACTTGTACTTACCGATTTGTTAAGTCACGTACGATGGATTAACGTTTTGATTGGCTGGCACGAGAAGAAAGGATTTACGAAGAATTACGTATGATCGTTAAAAGCCACGATCGATGCATTTTAAATAATATCAAATACGATCGCGAGTAAATCTGACAAATATAATATCATGCCCAAACGAAGTGTCAAGTGATTATTAATATCCGGAAACTCAACTATTACATAGTATTCTTCGGCTCGACCCACTTCGGAGAATAGTGAGTGCGACCTCGTCTCTGTTCAGTCTGTCACGTCCATGTGGAACTGGCATTCTTGCTTCATAAACCTCACTTCGTACCTCTCAGAGCAGGACGACGCGCCTTTGTGACGCGCACGTCGATCAGCTGATATACTTTACAATCAGTGATGTGCATTCGAATCTCAGTCTGATACGAATACAGAGATGTGTCCATTCGTGTGATGACACACGCTCGGCCTACGTCAGAGCGTTAAGCGAGAGAAAGTTATTGAACGAGTGAGAGTGAGAAGGAGAAAAATAAGCTAAATGTCTCTATGCGTATCAGACTAAACTTTAATGCACATTATTGTTTACAATATTGTTTCCTTTCTCTTTCTCTCTTTTATGACTATATATATATATATATATAAATATATATGTGTGTGTGTCATTTTAAAGATCAAGAGCGGTTATCATAGGTTATCATAGGCATTTGAGGAGACGCTATTTAGCCATGGACGTAGTATACATGGACCCCGTATACGGCCAGAAAAGTGAAGCTAATATGTACAGCCCCTCTGTGTTCTCTGTCTCTTTCTGCACAGGTAAAGTGTGCAATAAAATTTAAGACTTTTACTTGCCAGTCTAGTCGGAGTGCTCTATAATATTATGGAAACGAGTAATGGATGTACACGCAACAAAAAAGTGACAAAATAGAAAGAAAACTATAGCTTCTCTATTCTAGCTCTCTTTCTAGATGTGATTGGCTTCACTCTATTAGACGACAGAACATAGGGCATTCGGAGTCCATGCCCAGTAAGCAAGAAATCATTAATATAACGTTGTTACAATGATATTGAAGAACCTGTAATATTGTCAAATATGTAGTGTTTAATATTGTATCAAACATCATTATGAACATGCTTTGACCGCGATTTGGAAGTTTCAATAATGTTGAAATAGGGTTGCTATAACGTTTTAATCGGCAGAAATATTTTTAAGATGTTGCATTGACCTCAAATAAATGTTAAAGTAACATTTAAAAAATATATTTTTTGTAATGTTTTTAAAACGTTTAAACAACATTCAGAAAAATCATATCATAAAATAACATGTGAACAATATAAATGCAATATTATTAAAAAATGTCCAAACAATGCAAATGAAGTCAACGTTTCTAAACGTTAATTTAATATTCCTTGCTTACTGGGTGTATATTATGGGTGCGTTCTTTTATTTACTGCGAGTACTGACGCAATGACGTCATGAAAGTATACTGCTAGTAGTTCCGTTTTAACTTCGAGGACTGTCGAGGTGCTGCAAAGTGACAAATGGGAACGCACCACCTTACTGCCACTGCTTTACCTCTCCAGGTGTGCGTTCAGATTCTTCATCCGGGTGCACTCTATTACTAGAAACACTATAATATATGTTACATATACTATAGCACTTCTAGAATACACCCGGGTGTGGAATCAGAACGCAGCCCAGCTGCAGTAGTCCAGCAGAAAGTGACATCAAAATTCATGACGTCACAAACTCGTCGAAATGTTTCGCAGTGTAACCTATTTAGGAATGCTGTTGATAGTGCTGACAGTACTTGCAGTAAATAACGGAACGCAGCCTATATGTCGATGGGTGGGACTCGATTGACCGCGGTACGATTGGACACGGATTGTAATGATTGATTCGACCTAGTAATTCACTAGATAATTCTTTGCATCGATTGGTTGTATCCAACCGTACCGTGATTAATCGGGACGCTTTCCTTAATAGCCAATCAAATTCCACCTTTCTGTTAGAACGATAGAAATCAACTTCAACTTCAATATCTGGCTCCAGGCCTCTCTAAGAGTTATGCCCCAACGCCATTTTTTCGACTAATGATCTATATCGAGAGTAAAGTCTTGGAAAATTCCAAGACACGTTTCAAAAATCACACGGTCCGAACGTGTTCGAACACGCTGTCATCACGGCGGTTAGGCCAGGACTTTCGGCCGGGACTTAACGATAGAAGCCAACTTCAACTTCTTCAACCTCAATATCTGGCTTCAGGCCTCTCTAAGAGTTATGCTCCAACGCTATTTTTCCGATAGTGATCTATATCAAGAGTAAAGTCTTGGAAAATTCCAAGTCACGTTCCAAAAAATCACACTATCCGAAGTGTTCGAACACATCTTGTCGTGATGGCGGTTAGGCCGAAACTTAACGATAGAAGTCAATAATCGGTTTAAAAGTATCGATTCTCGCCATAATCTAGTTGTCAAACAATCGATTACAAAATGTTTATATATCGAAAAGAAATAATCGATTATAGCTATAATCGGTATCGCGCCCATCTCTACTGGAAAGTATCGATTTGTATTATTAAACGGAAAGCACCCTCTATGTTTTCGCGGGAAATTGAGCGGTGTCGCGTCGTGTATGTTAACCTCTACTGAGTACGTTTTGAGCGATTTCTTCTTTGTACGAAGTGTGAGATCGTCTATTAACAATGTCGAGTCCTATGAGAGCACCGAGAACTCCCACACCACAGAATGAAAATCAACCGGTGGGTGGCACACCCAGGCCACAACCTCAAACTCCGACTTCCAACAGAACTCGCTCGATTGCCGGGACTCCTTCCAGAAACTCTGTGTCTACCAGACAAAGTAAGAGCATATTTCTTACAAGCCTCTCTGTCAAAAGATAAAAATGTTTCAAATTACTAGTAATACACAAAATATCCACTAATTTGTTTATCACGAATAGGCACACCTCAGAGACGATCAGGTAACAACGCAGTGGAGACTCCATTAAGATGGGGCAATCGTCGTACCCAGGAGACTATTGCACCTTCATCAGAGGGTCATTCCTCTGTACCACTTTCTTCCCCAGGTGGGCTAGCACAGACCAGCCCTCTGGCTGCTGGTATGAGTGAAATAGAATTATCCTCTCCATTAAATTATGGGACACCCAGCTCCTTAGCATCAGTTCGTACTCCTAGAAGTGGTATCAGGGGTACGCCTATGAGGCAGAGACCAGATATTCAGTCTGACAAGCGTATTCGACAAGTCAATTTGGCTGAGACGGTGAGTTCAAGCAAAATTATCTAAGGCTCAGTTCTACAATTTACTTTAACCAAAACTTGTCTGAATAGGCATTTAATGAATTAAACTCCAGTTAAAGTTGTGGAATCAGGCCTTACAATATTGATATAGACACTGAGGACTCTACATGTAAATTCTATCGACAGATACCAGAGGAACCTAATGCTCCACGAACATCAGAGAGCGAGAATGGCCCACAGTTGGTAATTTGGGGCACAAATGTTGTAGTAGATCAATGTAAAGCACAATTCAAGCGATTCATTCTACGGTTTATCGACCCAGAGGCAGAAAACGACGAATTGCCTGAGAACATGAATCTAACAGATCCACTGTATCTGCAAAAGCTGGAAGAGGTACATTCATTAGAGGAGCCCTATCTGAACGTGAACTGCGCCCATCTCGAAGCTTTCGATAACGAACTCTACATTCGACTGGTATCCTATCCGCAAGAGGTGATACCAGCCTTCGACATGACCGCGAACGAAATGTTCTTCGAGAGATATCCCGCAGCGGTGCTGGATCATCAGATTCAGGTGCGGCCGTTCAATGTCACGAGAACGAAGAGTATGCGTCTTCTGAATCCGGAGGATATAGATCAGTTGATCACGATCACGGGTATGGTCATTCGTACGTCGAACATCATGCCAGAGATGCGGGAGGCGTTCTTCAAGTGCATCGTTTGCTCCTTTACAACCACCGTGGAGATCGATAGGGGCCACATCGCTGAGCCTACGGTGTGCACGCATTGCAACAACAACTACTGCTTCAGCTTAATACACAACCGCAGCCACTTCTCCGACAAGCAGATGATCAAGTTGCAGGAGTCGCCAGACGATATGCCGGCCGGTCAGACTCCTCACACGGTGGTGCTGTTTGCGCACAACAATTTAGTCGACGCCGTGTCGCCTGGCGACAGAGTCTCCGTCACTGGTATATATCGTGCCTTGCCGCTGCGTGTTAATCCACGACAGACCAACGTACGAACTATCTATAGAACGCACGTGGATGTTGTTCACTTCAGAAGACAGGATTCGAAACGGTAAGGAACGCAAATCAAATTTGTATCTTGGATGTATCATCTCATATATAAAATGATTGCAAAACGGTTTAGACAAGAAGTTGGGAATTCTGCAAACTGCAAATTAAATGTTTCTGATAGCAAAAACATAGTTTCTTGTCATTAAGTTTTTATCTAGTCCCTACTCAGTTACACAAACTAAACATTTTTTAAATATAATTTCACACATTGTGTGTTACATCATGGAGCCGTGTAGACGACACATTTTGCTAATCTTTAATCATCTTTTTCTTATATGAAGGCTATACGAGCAGAGAGAAGGCAAGAATCACGTGTTTCCACCAGAACGAGTGGAACTGTTGAAACTATTGTCACAGAAGGAAGATGTGTACGAACGCTTGGCGCGTCACATCGCTCCTAGCATCTACGAGAACGAGGATGTAAAGAAGGGAATACTGCTGCAATTGTTTGGCGGAACGAAGAAAGAAACAAAGAACGAAGAACAGAGCAAATCGAGTAAGAAGCACTTCCGGTCCGAAATCAACATATTGCTGTGCGGAGATCCAGGCACGAGCAAATCACAACTGCTGCAATTCGTATTCAATTTAGTGCCGCGGTCTCAATACAGCAGCGGAAAAGGTAAGTAACCGTTAGTGTGATAATAATCTTGAAACTGATAATAAGCTTGAAATATAGCATTCTCGTTTGTAACTCATGTGTATGTATTTATTTATTCAGGTTCCAGCGCCGTCGGTTTAACCGCTTTCGTAACAAAGGATCCCGAAACACGTCAATTGGTTTTACAAACTGGCGCCTTGGTGCTCGCCGATAATGGCATTTGCTGCATCGACGAGTTCGATAAGATGAACGACAGCACGCGCTCGGTGCTGCACGAAGTTATGGAGCAACAGACGCTGAGTATCGCGAAAGCGGGTATCATCTGTCAGTTGAACGCGAGAACGAGCATCTTGGCAGCGGCTAATCCCTGCGAGTCGCAATGGAATAAAAATAAGACGGTAAGTATCCATGATATAATAGATACGTTCACTGTCGATGAATGACGAACGTTGTTACATGCTTCCATGTTTGTTTTTAGGTGATAGAAAATGTTATGTTACCGCACACGTTAATGTCACGTTTCGACTTGATTTTCCTCATGCTGGACCCGCAGGACGAGGTATTCGATAGGAAACTCGCCAGACACTTGGTATCGCTCTATTATAAATCTGATCTGGAAGAGGAAGACGACATCGTAGACATGAGCATCCTACGCGATTACATAGTTTACGCCAAGGAACACGTACATCCCGTTCTCAACGAAGAATGTCAACAAAGATTGGCCCAAGCCTATGTAGATATGCGCAAAGTAGGAAGTGGTTATGGTCAGATCACGGCCTATCCGAGGCAACTGGAGTCGCTGATAAGACTCTCTGAGGCGCACGCAAAGATGCGATTTAGTAACGTAGTGGAAATCGCGGACGTCGAAGAAGCTTGGAGGTAAGCGGACAATGTATATAAGCGTTAAAAAGCGATATCTCTTCTTATACAACGCAAATAGCGAGGTTTAGCACGCTGTAACATTCGTGTAATGCGCATTCGTACATCACCAGATTGCATCGAGAGGCGTTAAAACAATCCGCCATTGACCCGTTGAGCGGCAAGATTGACATTAGCATTCTGACGACCGGTATGTCCTTAGCGGCGAGAAAACGCAGGCAGGGACTGGTCGAGGCGCTACAAAAACTCATTAAGAGCAAGGATAAAGCACCGACTTTAAATTACCAGAAGATCTTCACGGAATTAAAGGAATCGTCCAGTGTGGTGAGTTTATTTATGCATTCTTATGTTTACTCAATTCATGCTTCGTTTCTTCGGCATTCATGTGTTTATCATATTAAATTATTTAATTTATCATTATTGTTACGATTTCTTATTATACTTTTAATTTTTGTTATCAAAGTTTTCGTTTAATTTTTTAATGTTTTGTTTAATCATTCTTTTTAGTTGGTGACGCGTGAAATGTTTGAAGATGCTCTGAAAGAGTTACAGGATAATGGTGTTGTGATCGTAACCGGCAAAAATACTATTCGTGTTTGTTAGAATTATCTATATCTGTTCGAATCGTGCGCTTAAGCGCACTGTCGCTAAAATTTTTAATTTGTTTCGAAATTTGTTAGTACAGATCATGTATATAATGGTAAAACAGTTTTAGTAACTGACAAGTACTGAAAAATTTGATTTATATACACCATAGATGTTATTTCGTTATTCTTCAGTTTTCAAAATACAAATGTTGCGTTTATAATACAACAAAGTATAAAGTACATTTAAAATTCGGATAATACGCACTTCTTTATGTATTAAATAATTTTAGCATATGACCTTTGAATTATTTTTTTATAATATAATATTTTGTCATATATAACAAATCTGCTTTGTTCCAACTATCGCAGAATCTTTTGGTATCGAAATTGAGCATTTGCTAGTGAAGCAATCTCAGACTTATCGAAAGAACATATTAATTTGTATTATTTTTTAAAATAAATAATTCTATATGTTTTTATATCCAATTTTTTGTTCAATCTGTTTTCCTTCGATTTATCCTATCTGTACTAATTTATTTTGTTCTTTATAAGTTTTTTTTCCTTTAGTTTTTTAATTCCTTTAGTTATTCATAAATTTCTTTCGTTTCACTCTCTTTAGTTCCTCGTTTTCTTAAATAATTACTCAGACGAATACATTTTTTTTGTCATATAAATATATGAATTATCATTTTACGTGCTTGTTAGAGAAAATTTCTATAATGTTTAGTATCAAGTACGTATCTTTCTTCGACCGGTTTGTTTATTATCAAATTTAACTGTGCAACACACACATAGAATAGAATAATAATTGTGGAACAGTTAATATTGTCACGTTTTTCAAGTTATCGCTGCAGTAGAACAGTGTAGACGGTTTGAGAGTTTCACGACGAGATCAGTTTTCCGTTTTGAAATCCCGTAGGATTTCAAGAGCCAGCACTTATCACGATAGGTACTATAAATCAGACGAGAGCAGTCTTTGTCTTCTATCTAATTTTATGCAGACATCTCGAGTCTGTTTTATATTTTAATTTACTTCCTTCCTATTTTCACGTTCTGCTATTCTCACACACGGAAAGACAAATCTTTTAGTAATCTTGACGTCTTTATGATTATGATTTCTCGACTACTAAATTCTATGCTATTTATTGCACAAGATACAATGTCTATGATTATTATATGCGACACGATGCTCTTTATCCGCATCTTCGACGTTTTTTCGGTAATCGTTGCATAATATTTGCTCTTGGGGAGAAAGGACGATAGCAAATTGGTATTTTGCGCTGCCGTGTCGCAAAAAAGGAAGGTGGGCAGGAGAGTTGCGATCTTTCGTATACAGCGCGTTACACGAGCCACGATTCCGAAAAGAATCTCGCAAGAGGAACTGACGCTCGCTCTTTATTCCCTCATTTTTTCTCCTCACAGTATATTACCAATAGAATTAACGAGCAAAAATATAATACGATATAATAGGAGAACTATGTCCATAAATATTTTCTTATTGAAGCGCGGTACTTTGTTACACGTAGTTGGACAAAGAGAGAAAGATAATGAGAATTTAGGCGATAAAAAATCGGAAATTGGCTCATCGAGAGAGCCGATCGAAGCAACCAGTCGTGCGTTTTTCCCCGAGAAATGTACCTCGCTTTTCTTGCAGCATGCAACGTTATTATTACGTCGCTGCATTTCGACATTTGCATGTATTTTTAATGTCACGCTCGATGCATTATATCGGTTGCATCCATTATTCATTGAGATATAAATGATTGCTTGTCGCAAACAATTCGTAAATGCCCAACGTCGCTTCTACGATTCTCCTTCAGTAGCTGCATAAATCCGCACAATGCAAATACCATCAATTCAATCGTCCTTTTGGGCCGTCGTCTTTCGTCGCGCTGTCCCGTGAACGACGTAATCATTGCTCTCATCGATTTCCCGACCTCTCTCGTTCACGTCGGGAAATACGACAGCCGATCGTCCCCGCCGTAATTTCACGGGGTGGCCGTACGATGATTAATCGCATCGCCCCCGTCACATCGTCGGCGACTTGAAACGTCCTATAGCCGGCCCGTCCCACGCCTACGCCTCGTGCGCGGACGTCGCGACGGAGGCGTCGTACTACGTAGTTTCGCTCTTGCGATGACCTTGGAAACTCCCACGCTGCCGGAGCACCGGGTCTCGGCGGTGGGGATATTCGTTCATCGACGTCGCACCACCCACACACGGGGGCGAGATCTTCACCCCTCCGAATCCCGATGGCCGGCTCGATGCTCACGTACGTGAGAGCGCACTGATACCAGGAGAAGCTGAGTGTCCTCGAATTATCGTGCCTAGAGGTTACACGGCATACGATCCAATTTGGCGGCGGAGATCGCTCGCTTTCTACGGACCCACAGTAATTAATCTTCCGCCAAGCTGAATTACGTTAATGTGATTTTAATTTATACGCAGAATTCTGCCACGTTTGCGGAAATGCGTGATTGGAAAAATGGATCGATAAGAATCGGTCGCGGTTGTTCATGTGTAACGACGTGAAAATAAAGCACCTACAAAATGTGTAGCGCGCAGGCGATTAATTAGCAATTAATGATATGTATATATTTGTATGGACGGTGCATTTCGAGGTGCGACGACGCGCATGTATGCGTGAAACACTTGACATTTTACGAAAGCGTTGTTATTATGTTACGTTATATGCATTATTTCGTGCGACTCGGACCTTTATCGACTTATCCATCCACTCGCTCACCCACACTCACCCACACCTGTCCACCCAACCGAACTGTATTAATTTTACGTCAAATAAAATTTGATATCAGAAACACAATAAATGACCGTGGGAAATCTAATAAAAAGCGATATGAAGAATCCCACAGAGCGTAGTCCTCACGCGCTACCAAAGATAAATTTTATTTACGATTCTCTTCCGCCAATATGAAGTCGACGTTTCTTCAATAAAAATATCGGGGATTCAATAATTGTATTAAATTACAAGCGACCGAAGATAAAGGATTTTTTTCGGCAAATAAGGGCGCGTCGGTCGATAGATAGACAGCTTATTTTCCGTATTTGATTTCGCGAATGGACTCCAACGGACGTGTAGTTTAAAAATTAGCTGGATAATTATTGGAAATTGAGTTTTCATCGGACCTTTCATCTGTGAGCTGTTATTCGTTGCTGATAAATTTCGGTTGAGCCGAACTCGGGTTAGATTAGCAGTCTGCTTAGCTTTCGCGACGGGTTTTCGCTTCGCACTTTTTCCCACATATCCGACTCTGCTCCCCTTAGTTTAGATTAATCTGCAGACTAGAGAAATCGTGGTAGAAATCCTTAATAAGCGGACAAGCTTTTTTCCAGTAGATATTAATACTCGTCAAATTAACTCTAATCTAGAGTACGAAATTAATCTCGGCGTGATGTTTCGGACATCAACGATTGGGATTTCTTTCGCGTATATCCTTTCGCAGCTGATTCGCAAATTTATCCAAATTTTACTCCAAATAATTCTACCGCACATTCGTCAATGATATTTGTGATACACTCATCGTGTTTTCTCTTTGTTTTTGCATCTCATCTTATGATGCGACTTTGAGCACATTTTTAGATTAAATCTAAAGATTAAATCTTAGATTCATCTCTCCCCTAATTATCATCGTCGATTACGCTTCGCGACTATTTGCACGAGATTACCGTGGTCGTGTGTACGTATGTGAGGTATGTTACGCGCTATATTCGCCCCCGTAGTCTCGCACACGTGTCCACACACCCGCATCGTCATCTATGAACGACCGGCCGGCCCGTATTAACCGACACAGTTACGCGCATGCACTTACGTTCCCACGTGTGCGCATAGGAGGGTTGCCGAGAGGGAAAGAGAAAATGGAATCGTACATGTATACGTACGAGGTTGGCGAGGGTGAATCTCGCGAGAGCAAGAAAGATGAGAGAGGGAGAAAAGAGAGATTGTGAACGTGGTGAAGGGGAAGAAAGGAAGTAGTGAGATAGATAGAAAGAGAGACAGACAGGCAGAAGGGGGAGAAAGGAAGAGAGAGAGAGAGAGAGAGAGAAGGGGTGAGGGAGAGGGAGAGTGAGAGAGCGGGGGCGCGCTCGATCGTTAAAGCGCCACGACTCCCCACCGCGTGATACCTCACGCCCAAGCCGCCCATTCATAAAGTTGCAGCCGCTAATTCTTAGCATCTCGTTCAACGTTTTCCCAGCGTAGCGCGACGCAAGTACGAGTTCGCGCGATTTTCTTCCGCGTGGCCGATCCCGTTTTGTCAGGCCATGTTTCCATGTCTCCTGGTCGCTTCTTCATTTATGTCTTGTTTAGGGAGTTTCCCCGATCATGGAGGACTGTCTCAGGGCGTACAGATGAGCGAAATTTTGCTAAAAGGCATGAACGAGGAGCGAACGGTGAGAGAACATGCCGTGGAGATTTAAAGGTTGCCAGGATACTTTAAGGGTACTTCGTACATCTGATTTAATCCGATGCTGAAAAAAAATCTCGTATCGTTAGACCATAGCAAGACTTATTCTTTTGGGTTGGGAAACATTTAGGAAATTATCCGTTCGATGATTATCCTGGAATATCTTTCAGGAGAATCGATGCGTCACAATCTCATCCGTGTATGACTTCTAAATCAGACTGAATCAGTCTTATCATTCTCTCATTATCAAGAAGACATCGCGAATCGAGGACGAACCTAAGAAAATTCAATAGCACGATTGTCGCAGCAAAGAATCATAAGAAAAGTGAGGCCTTCTGTATCCCAGTTCATTCTGTATCCAGTTTTCGTCCTCTAATATCTCAGTCCATTATAAAGCCAACGTGTTCTCGTAAGACGCCAATGATCCGTGACGAATTCACCGGTGACGTCCAACGACTCATGACGTACCCGATCAAGTGGACTGACCTGACGCCAAGCGTCGCGACTCCTCCGGTCGTCCAACACCTGTTCGTTGGCATGAAACCTGATTTATCCGATCGATTGCGGTACAGCTTGAAGGTCGTCGTCGTCATCGCCATCGTAGTCTTCGTCGTCTTCGTCGTCGTCGTCGTCGTCGTCGTCGTCGTCGTCGTTCTTGCCAGGGGGTGCGGTGGGATGAGGTGAGGGAAGGGGGTTGCCGCAGTGTCCCGTGCGAGCAAATAAAAGTCTGCTTCGTCGTATATATCTATATAACCGAGTCGCTCGCATTGAGCGGGTACCTCCATTCATGCTTTCCGGGCGCAGGCGCTCGCCCGTTCGCGAAACCGCATGGCGCTCTGCCCCGGGAAGGGGTTTGCGAAGTCACCTACGCGAAGGCCCCGGCACGATACGTGGGCGACGTGGGTGATTCAGAGGAAGAGCCGGAGGTAGGGCGGAGAGAGATCCCCGTTCCTCGCGCGCCGGCTCGGCTCGGCTCGACTCGGGGTTCGACTCGCCCCCGAGAAAGGGTGGCTTGTAAAAAACGCGAGGACTCAATCCGTGTACGATCCTCACCGTGGCCGTTCCTCGCCGCGTGCTGTCTCTACCTCGGTTTTCGGCAGTTCGTGAGCGACCTGTTCGCAAGTTCGACGACGACGCACGTCAGGGAAGACAGACAGAGAAACAGAGGGAGAGAGAGAGGTTCGTGACTTCCCTCCGGATGGTCTTCGCGACACGAGGAGGCCCTTCGCGGTGCCAGTTGCTCCGGACAGCTCGCACGCGCGTGGATTAATCGGCTCGACAGAAGTACCTTTTCTCACCTGCGTCGTCTTCTCGGTACGTAGAGCAACAATCTGTTTGAAGATACGATGCTGACGAATCTAGAGAGTAAATTGCGGTTTAATCACGGGATTATCAGTCGCGCCACGTTGCAAAGCCGGCATGGTCGTATATGTTTCGCGGTTTTTTGCATGCGCACCTATCGATGTTGATTGTTACTTCGCCACATGGTAGAACGAATCAACCTGCGATCGCGCGTTTCTCGCTGGCTCGCGACAATAAGAAAACCGGCGTGGTCTTATTGTGAATAGCTCAAGCAGGGCGCATCGACCTCGTGGAAGAGCACGCACCGGGAGAGCTTGAGAATTGTAGCTGTGCTTTGTCTTTATTAGATGAAACATGTAAGCATCGCATAAATCGCGTTTTGACGAAACTGCGATGAGTCGGTCGATACTGTGTGACTTTTGATTAAATTCACTGAAGCTTTCCACTCATAAAGAAATTTATTGCACACTAGGATTCTAATTTGAGACAAGGACGTTTATCGTATCTCGCGAAATGACGCTTTCGCGCGCGTTGCATCAATCCAGTGCGATTATATTACAACATTCCGCGTCACGAAGATACGAGTTGCAATCTTCGCGAGAGCAATTTCAGGCTTCGACGATAATACATCACGTGGCGAGATCAAAGAACCCCTGATGGAATATGCATTTGATTTAAAGCTTCGTATTTCGGAATTCCATCGAGTCTTCTTAAATCTTCAAAGTTTATACGATATTGAACATGCAAGATTACATGCAAACGAAATTACTATCCTAACTGTAATCTCGCATAAAACTATCAATATGTATCAACTTAGAAGGATGTATAGTGGTAGCATCGATTAAAATAAATCATATCGGATTTAAGCGCGAATATCTGCCGGTTTCCTAACAATATAAGCGCAGAAAAGAGTGTATTTACGTAATAGCGTAACATCGCGTGGGCGACGTTCGTCGGTCGATGTAAACTCGAGGGAGAGAGAGAGAGCTGAAATTACACCACATAATAAATCTTAGCGTTTTACGACAACAAAGACACGAAACACTGGAATAGGAACAATAGGCACGCTCGCAATTTACGATCTGTTATGAGAATTATAACAATAAATCGAATAATATGAAACGATGTAAGATGTGCTGTTTTCATCGTCACGGTCGTCGTCAGCTATGAAAAAATAGTTATTGTGTGGATTCTTCGTGCAACAAACTTCTTTCTTCAGCGGCTTTTCGGATTCACTGCTCTTCTGCTGATTGTCTCCTAATCGTAATAGAGGCTTCTCGAACGACGACTTATGCGGTTAATGATTTCGAACAGATGATTAATTATTGTATGTCATTTATCCAACCCTTATTAAACTTATTTCAATGAATCTTGATTAAATAACTAGGTCTAACGTTTTACAATTCATATGAGATATATATACGATATAAAATATACAAATAGTTGGTTTCAGTCATTTCTTTAATATTTTATTATTCGGAAAACAAGATTGCCTCGACCTAATTTTTCCTTGATACAATTCTATCTAACTTTATTAACCTTATCAACAATAAAGAACTTATCAACAAGAACTGTACTGTGGAAAAAAATAAAGGTTTCAGCAGTGACTAGTGAATCTAATAATTAAACGCGAAGGCGGGATTATTTTGAATCGTAAAATAACAAATAAAGAGAAAGAGAGAGGGGAGAGGAAAGATAAGAAAGAAAGATAGAATAAATTATTTCCCGCCTGTTTGATTTGAAAAGTCAAATCGGATAAACGAGTAAGAAGTAATAATTATGCCCGACGAATTTGCACAAACGTAAAAAGCAAAAAAGCAATATAATAAATAAAACATGACTTCCGCCTCACTTCCCTCACATTCCTAATCTCTTCACTTCCTTACTTCCAAAGAAAGGACAAACTTTTAAACGAATAAAACTGACAGGACATGATTGGATATTCTAGGTACTATATTTTTGTGATACAGAGGTCCTACCCAAGGAATTAATAAATGAGGCATTTATTCTTGTTTCTAATTTCGAGATAAAGATAGTACTGCTATTTCTTGTTTCTCTTAGTTTCGCACAAGTGAAGTACAAAGCTGCCAAAAGAAGGGCAAATAGATTCGTAATAATATTTAAGATCTACCATATAATAGTTCGTGGAATAGACTCGCGGAATACAACAAATAGCTCGGTATATAGGAGTGAGGGAAATGATGTATAGGGTGGGATAGGCAAGTAGAAATCTCATTGGGTTTGTACTTCGACGTGAACCAAAGTGTCCACAAATAAAATTCGACAGTTAAGAATATTGTGAAATGTATCATCGTCAATCAGTCGGCGTTTTGGGCAGCTAGCTTCACCACCTCTTGGAAGGTACGTATATATCGTGCGATGATAAGGTGTCTCGTGTTATGATCTGAAAATGAATAATAAATAACGATAAATAAAGAATTGATATGAGTACATATTTCGGAAACGACGTGTTATTTTGTGTCGCAGTACATTTTCCTTGTACATCAATCAACGAGCTGAAGAAACGGGCAAGGCTGCTGAGTACAAAGTGAGACGGAAAATTTCGGAATCCGGAAAAAGTTTAAGTTCGAGGTGATCGCGTGGTACGAATCAGACACAGAGCAGATTTGATAGAAATGAAATTTCATCCAACTATCGCAGCCGCCGCCCTCCGTAGTGCGTATTGTGTAAATATGCTGGATTATAGTGGATCCAGCATATCCTCGCGGGAGCATTCGTACGTTCGCGCACGCAACACACCCCGTGCGCATGTTATCGGACATTTTGCTTTCTCCTTCTACCTGACCCTCGAGAGGAAAAGCGACTCTGACCTTGGTCGCCATGGCAATTTCAAAGACATACTAATTCCGTTATAGCTGCGTTCAGCATTCGAAAAGTTTTTATTAAAAAAAAAAAGAAAAAAAAGTCACGTCACGAAATCGAGAAAGCGTGAAAGAGAACGCGAAATAACGCGAAGAGCGCGTATCGGTATTGTGAGATTAATAATATTTTCGAATTCGGTAAATTTCACGCTTATGCATCTTGTTGGTTGTTAGTTATGTTCGCATTTTCAGTGCGATTCGATGTAGGCCAGTGAAATTCCGTGGGCGTTGTGAATTTGCTTGCCGCGAATTCGACGGTGCCGATAATTGTGCGCGTGTACTCGCGTTTCCTTTGTAATCGCGCAAAAGTACTGATCACAGTGAGCCGCGTTGATTAATCCGCATCTCGATTCCTCTCACGTACCTCGCAACCATATCGCATTTATGGCTTTTCATTCAATATCGCTCCGTTCCGTTTCGCGAATAAACACACGGTGCTTTGCGTCGTTAAATTTAACTGCCTTTCTAATTGTGAGATTAAACGATTTACAAAAAATTCTTATTTACATCGTTATCTCGGCGATCGTGACAAATGATATCTACGTTCGCGTAGAAACACTCGGGTGAGAACAGTTCAAGTTCCCTGTTTTCGTTTTCACTAGCCAGCGCTGGGTAACGTCGTCACCCGCCACTTTCGCTCTCGTCCGAGTTTCAATGTCGTGGAACGGGAATGCTCTACGACGTGCGCGACGGAAAATCGCGAAGACGGGTCCGATATAATTCTTTTTTCCAGTAGGAAGCACGCGGAACACGGTACAATTCGAGACTTGATACAGATTTGATAATACTTGCTATGTTTATTATGACAAGAGATAAGTAAACTTCCGTGCGAGTTTATACGCGACTTTCTCATACAATTTAACAATTAAATATTACTTGTATAACATTCGCGCTCGCGGAATGGTAATATATGTTTAAAATTATGACTGTGTGTTAATTTCATGGGAAATTGATTCCATTGAAAATTATTTTACGTATCGTAAGGGAAATACTTGGTAACATTACGATTTATGACAATAAAAAATGTCAAGTAAGTCCGTAAGAAGTTTCATATTGTATGCGAATAAGTTGAAGATTCCAGAAAAAGTAATATTTGACTGTTTTGAGGAGTATACGGTTATCGTAGCTCTTACTTTAATATTTAAACGTACTTAGGCGATCGAAATTCTGGCCGAGTTCAGGTATCAAATATTTGAAAGCTATACTAATCAATGATGTTACATAATGGATTTCGGGATTAAATCGATTTTGTTTTATCTGTAAAAATTAAATATTTCTACGACAATATGCTCATATTGCGTAAAAAATTACATATTTATTTCTCTTTCTTGTTATGAATAAAACTCTAAATAATGAGTAAAACTAGAAAACATTCCAACTAAATAAATTTTAATTATACTAAAGAGTCGTAAAAACGGAGAGCCTACTAATTGCGTATAATTTGACAATCGAATTGTGTCGATTTTATAGAATAATATTTGAATAAAATCTTTAACCAATTTGTAGTTGAATTTTAAACAATAGAAATGTCAGAGTGCATTTTAAAGGATCGGCGAAAATAATTTTACTTCCGAGTAATGTGATCGAAAACAAATCGTGATCTTACATTCTTTAATTAATTTCAGCTGACCGTTTAAGAATTTTAATTTAAAGTTCAGTTCAGGGAGAATTCATTATGTTGTAAAGCTACAACAAATGACAATTTCCTTTTGATATATTCGTCGAAAAGTTCGAAGCCAAATTATTCAGGAAATCCATTGTTAAAAAGTAACATGATAGAAATAGGACACTCTGTATAATTCGATTTGTACGTAAGGTGACATTCGTCGCGATCGTAAAATAAATTTTTGTCAACAAGACGTGGCGATCAGTTAGTTTGGTGTGTATAAAAGACCAGTGTATAAGAAGCCAGTGTGGTTTTGTGCGAACAGCAGTTGTTTTTGTTACAAAGCTCGTCTAGAGAAAAGCAAACTAGTCGAAACGCGCTATCAACAAGGTGAAAACGAACGATCGTTGATGTTAGCCGAGGGAAGTTTTCACGCGTTTATCGATCTTCGAATTTCGAGTGATACGAAACTTCATCAACGTTTACATTCGACGTTCACATCTTTGTTACGTCTTACGAAACAGGAAAATTGGACAGAGAAAGAATCGCGTGAGCGCTATACGAGTTTTATATAATCAACTGACAAACTTGATCAGATACATTACCGAGAAAAATAATGGAAAAATTGATATATAACAAAATATATAAGTGTTTCTGTAATATAATACTTGATTACTAATTTCATAAATTACTAATTCTTTTGTTAATAGAACATAAAAAGACAAATTTTCAGATATTTTATAATTAATAATAAGCAATGATCCAAGTTACTCTAATATTTTCTCAACTTATATCTGCAATGTTCAAAATATATTGTGTGTAGTTTGAGATATGCTTTGAGTTTTTTTATTGCGTAAATATCGAGAGATTTTATTAAAAATTTTAGGACTCTGTCTAAAGCGAAAATGGAGAGACTTGCTAAAAATCTTCAAAACAACAGTATTTTAACTTTTAGATTTTTAAGACGAATATGTCGTGAAGCGCAATGAGGCGGTCTCTGCACGATCCTATGTGGACCCGTGCGGTTCATTTAAACCGCGGTATGCCTATACGAATGAAGCCGCAATAACCGCACGTGCGTGCAAGTAAACGTGCTCGGATGCATGCACGTGCATTTGCACGTCGAATTATCTGCGGTTATTGATTCCCCTAAAAGTTATTGATTCCCCTAAAGTTCCAATAATACAAGAGACGGCCTACTCTCGATCTCACAATTTCTTCTTCTATCACAGGGAGAAGGGCAAGCGGAGATACGCTCGACATGAGAAGAGAATAGCGTTATAATGATAAATTTAAGACGACACCGGGCCATCTTGATCATCATTCTATCAATATTCTGTTTTAATTTTTGTTTCAGATAATTAGTTTACAAGCGTGATCCCGTGTCTCACGATGAGTTTCGAGAAGAACTACAATTCCAGCTCAAGTCTTTACGACTTCTACAATCCGATAAGTCGACTGATCCCAGAGATTTCTATCGACCAAATTTACCAGAGAAATGAACAAAAATCAAGTCATTCCTTTGCACCGGTAAGTAAACTACCTTGCCTATATAATTCGCCCATAATATTCCAATTCTCCGTTAACGCGAATTCCACGTCGGTGAACGCGTCATGTAGTTCACGGATAGCTTTGTGTAAAGTTAATGATACTTACAGCTGAAATTTACGATATTCGATATTTGAATTTGCAAATGATGCAGCAAGAATGGTCATGTTGCAGATTGCAAGCAGATCACCGAGCAGTTCGGGCACCAGCTCGTCGGGCTCTTCCACTACCCATCTATCGAGTCTCCCGACTGCCAGTCCACCATATCTCTCGCATACCACTTCATCAGACTTCTCGCGTACCACTTCATCAGACTTCTCGCGTACCAGCCCGTCTAGTTTGTCCATGAGCCCACGACGCTTCTCCAACGACAGTCCATCAAGGTTCTCGTCTGCTAGTCCGGTCCAGGGTCTGTCGTCCATCAGTCCTCCGTATCTCTCGCGCAACAGCCCACCGGACTTCTCGAGTGCTGGTACATCGTGCTTTTCGACCGACAGTTCGATAGAGCTGTCGACTGTTAGTCCACCGTACTTTTCGCATACAAGTCCATCAAGTCTCTCACGAAGCAGTCCATCGAGCCGTTCGCGCGCCAGTCCACTAGGCTTCCCGCATGATAATCTTGAATTGAATTTCTCGACCGCACTGAACATTTCAAACAACAACACGACAGTCTCTTCGCCTAATGGCAATATAGTAGACGGGCAGCCAGCAAATTCAAGATATCTGAATCTCGCGGTAGCTTCCACAGATGTGGAGAACAACAGATCCAGGATACTGCGATCTTACAACAACGGCAACTCTGCACATGAATCGGTAATGCTATTTATATCAACAGTCGCTTGTAATCTTTGTCGAACGTTTTTGAGTCCTCTTATCGTCGTTATTTTTCCTTTAAGACGAGAAAAGCAAAATATATTTGAAATACTTAAAGTAGTGTTAGTTACAGTAACCGACAAATTAATTCGAGTAATTTAAATAATGGATTTCAAGAGAAGAAACACGGACTTTGTGTTTACTATTGAATATTATTATTCATTTGATAAAGGTTTCTCTCTTGTCGCACACAAGGCACAATCGCTCTTGTGCGACCGTTATTAGCTTTACATTTGTGTACTCGTTTGAATATGTGTATATCGTACTCGGTAAACGTGTTAAGTAAATATATATTTATAAGATATATTAGCAGAATTCTAAAGGAATATCATACATAACTTCTAAAATGAGAGGACTTTGTAAAAATAAGTAATGTACGTTTGAATATAACGAAATAGAGAGATGTTGAGACTTAAAGAGTTTTAATGACGAATGTTTAATAGAATGGATACTCATCCCCTTTCGTGACATCAACGAATATACTCGAGCACGAAGCCATTATCCCGACGGATAATCAGATTGATATACCCAGCACATCATCGGCATGGCATATGGTTAATATTCCACCGCCTAGACCGCCATCCCACTGCTCACGAAATATCCACGATGTCACCCAGCAGCGTTACTGCCTCACTTGTAGCCAGCCATACTGCAAAGACTGCTGCATTGGTTACCACGAGAACCACGCGCATGAAGATTTTATGAAGTACCTCCAGCTCACCGTAGACCAAGGCACGGACACACTGAGAAATGCCCGCACGACGCTGAATATGCTCCAAACTGACTTGGAAGATGTGCAGGTGAGCGAAACAATACATTTGCCGAATCTTTTTCGACGCAAACATCATCTTCCAGAGGAGTCATATACCTCCGATCTGCACTAAATATAAACTTTAACTCTTTGCGTTGGCATTTATAATACTCGGACTCATGACAAGTGTGCACCTATTTAAACATTGCGATCTTGCGAGACGTGACTTACAGATTCTTCCTGATCCTTTTTTTATTAACTTAAACAATTGAACTATTAATTACGTGAGCAAGAAGATATATTTTTTAATTACTTGAAGAAAAATTAGATTACTTCTTGAGTCGGATAATCCGATCGTAAAATTGCATGTTAAATCCAGAATTACTGAATTTAACACAATTGACAAGTTATGTACGCGACTACTGATTTTTTAACGTGGTATTCTTCTGCATCCATTCAGTTGGACGCTGAAATGTTAGATCAAAAAGCTAGACAGGCGGCCGCCAATGTGATGAGCTGTATACGAAGGCACATTTCTGCTCTGGAAGCCAGAGAAAAGGAACTATTGAATAGCATTGAGCGAGCGCGAGTAGTGAAGTTTGACTCTCTGAAAATGAAAGATGAGCAATTGAGAAACGATAAGACACGCCTGACGAAAGTCACTTACAAGCTTTGTAACGTTCTGGACTCTTGCGACTTATCGAGCAACCCAAAAGAGCTTCTGGCGATCAAAGATATGACGATGGCTGAGGTAATAATCAATTTTCTTATACTTATTTACTTGCGCATTATACTTCACTCTACATTTTACACTTTCGATTTTTAATTGATAGAAAAGCCATTTCTATTACATTAATAACATTGATACTAAAATCTATTATACTAAACCTCTTGATACTTGAACTTCTCTATTCAAGTGTCAAATATAATCCGAGCTTAATGCTGCGTGACACTTGGTAAGAATTTTTTATTTATTTATTGGCTGTACTTGTTACCGTCTCATTTAATTATATGTACCAATTATTACAGTATTTAATTAACAAAAGATACAAAAGTTCTATGTTGTGAACGAGTCAGATTTTAATAATTGTGATTGAAAATAGATGAAATTTGTGACAATTGGCCAGTAGAATGCTCATGTAACGTAAGTCCTCTAGTAGCAGGATTTCTTCCTGCGGTTGTGTATCAATTTTCATTGATATCCTGGGACTCACATAGTGCATTCTCATTGAAATACACTCGAAAGTATATATGTGCTTTGTATGATGATGCAAGATGTTCCAGATCAAACAGAATCGGCGATATCGATCTACTCGCGAAGAAAGTTGGATCTCGTTCACATCTCTGGGGAATACCTTGATGCACGAAATTGCCAATTTGGGCAATATTCAAACAAGCAATCCGGGCCCAATCGGAGAAGGACGTGCGATTTGCGGCGGCAATTCGTCACATTTGTACTTGTACACCCCGAAGATTCCCAAAGAGATCGGGCGTGGTCGTCCTGTGCCGGGCAACAGTTTTCCCGTGATAGTCGGAGAATCTGCTTACAACACTGTAGTCAAGGTGATTGGCGACAATGGAGACGTTCCCGATAACCTCTGCCGTCCGTGGGGTATAACTTGTGACAATAGAGGTCACATTATAGTCGCTGACAGGTCCAACAATCGTATACAGATTTACCGTGAGGACGGCACGTTCGTCATGAGATTCGGGTCCCAAGGGACCGGACAAGGCCAGTTCGACCGTCCAGCCGGAATTGCCGTCGACAGTAGACAACGTATCATCATCGCCGATAAAGACAACCACCGCATTCAGGTGAGACTATCTCTCTCGAGAGCGCGAATGTCGTCACTGTTCCGATATTTGTAGGGCAAAACGCAACTGCAAAGCATCTCGTTTCAGATTCTTCAGATGGACGGCACATTCGTGAATAGCTTCGGCCAGAAGGGTCACGAAAACGGCCAGTTCAATTATCCGTGGGACGTGGCGGTGAACTCGGAATGCCGGATCGCGGTATCGGACACCAGGAACCACCGTGTGCAGCTATTCAGTCCCGACGGTGTGTTTCTATGTAAGTACGGCTATGAGAACACGCCGAACATGTGGAAATACTTCGACTCGCCGCGGGGGGTCTGCTTCACTCCCGACGGCAGCCTCATAGTTAGCGACTTCAACAACCACACGCTGGTGTCCATCGATTCGCGATTCTCGAGCGCGCGCACGTTGACCTGCGAGGCCGTCGATAACAGTAACAAGCCGTTCCTACGACCCCAAGGCGTGGTGGTCGACGACAAAGGCAATATCATCGTCGCCGATTCTCGCAATCATCGTATACAGGTGTTTAACTCGAGCGGCAGATTCCTGTGGAAATACGGTGTTCACGGCACGAACATGAAAGAGATGGACCGGCCAGCCGACATCGCCCTCTTGCCCGACGGCAAGATCGCGATTGTTGATTTCGGGAATAACCGCGTGCTGGTGTTGGACCGCGTGATCGAATCCGTAGAGTCTATGTAATGAGGACAAGAATTGTCACACAGAAATCAAGTGTGGCAGACTTGAGCGGCCGCGACTCTCGCATATCTTGCGTTTACAAGCGCGCGGCGGAATTTTCAATTATTCACTCGTCTTCTTATTGCTGTATAGAATCGTCACGTTACAATCGTATTCTGGAATTCGACGATTCATGTAGCCACTAGTCCCTGATGCGTGGACACTGAAAATCAAATTGTTGACAAAGAAGCAGTCTGCACGTTTGATGTTTCTTGTGTTAGATAACTGTTTTAATTACTGTTACATACTTTTAGTTTTAATTGGAAAAATAACATCGATATTCGTAAGAGTAATATGCACCTCAACGGAATTATTTACCTTGCTGTTCAGCGAGACGCTTTTTATCGCAATTTCGTCTGACGCAAAATTACAAGACAATTTCTCTGCTTGTAAAAATAATTATTTCCTCTACTCGAAAGATGAAAACATCTATTCCTTCTTGATCGAGGACAAGAGCTGCATATTATTCTTGCAATCGATTATAAAAATAATTTTATTACGATTGTACATGCATATACTCTGTGCAAAATGGACGCATAAAATGCGCATGTAGTTTTGATGTTAGCATGGCGTTCACGCTATTTGTCTCCGTTACGATTTAAAACCAGAAAACCGGAGATTGATGACAGAGAAGGAATCGTGTAAGTGCTACACGTTTTGTGTAATTAATTGACAAAATCAATCGGCACATCGTCGAGAAAAGTGATGGCGAAAAAAATTAATATAACGAAATATGGATAAATTTAAACACATCCATAAGAACTTTTTTTCTTCAAATTTTATATTAATCTTTTACTTATTATCTTTAATTATTGTGTATGAATTGTGAACTTTTTATTACCAATTCTTAATTGCTTGTCTCAAATATTATTAAATTTTTTGTTAATTAATACAAAAAACAAATTTTGAAATATTTTATAACTGAAAAAAGCAGTGATTAAAATTACTCTAATATTAATTTTCTTAATCTGCGGTCTACACTCTTTAAGATATATTATGTACTTTGAGATATATTGTGTCTTTGAGATATATTTTGAATGTTTTTATTATGTAAATATCTTGATTTTGCGGATCATTATTTCTCATTAAAAATTTCAGAATTGCATTCTTTCTCATGATCAGTTCCATATTATGCAACTTGTTATTTGCTTTCTATATATTTTTAGTGTTGAATATTTTATATATTTTAAATACTTGTAACTACTATAAATTGTCAGACGGTACTGAGTGGCATTGACGGCATTGAAGGTATTGACGGTATTGTGTACGGTATTGAATTGCAACTATGCAATTATGTGTAACGTATACTACTAACGATTTCTTCCAACTAATCGCATTGTGCGTAAGAATTTGTTTTAAATATAAGAATATATATATATAGTTTTTACTCAATTATATTTAAGTTTAATTCTTAGTTAATTTACTTCTATATATAAGCTAACTGTTATGATAACTACTTAGTAATGTTAGAATATTAATGTAAGTTAATCGTTGCCATAGTTGAAATGTAAGGATCAGTACAAAGTGAGAGAGGAAGAGCGAGTTGTAAAAAAAGAGTGAAAAATTGCTCGTTAAGACGGTAGCAAGGTGCTGATTGTTTTTGCAGGTTGATTGACAGAGACAGATTAGAATGCTGATTGAATTAACGAATTCGCGTATGCGAGAACGCTAATTAAATTGTGCACGTATCGATAGAGAAAAAAAGGCAAAGAGAGAGAAATTTTTAACGTGGTTGTGAAAGAGACGGCACGTGTTTGCGTAAGACGTGTATATCCTATAAACAGTCCACCAACCCTTTTGGATCCGCTGCTAATTCTTGCGACGTTTCTTCGGCATCTCTAGTATACATGAGTACCTTGGTGCTGGAACGGCCAACGTTGTATCTTCAGAGATTCACAAAGATAATTTTTTCCTCCTACCTCCCAACCACGACACTGGTCGTTTCAGTTTCCGAGTACAACTATTTTGTGCTAAAGTTTTCTCTGTCTATAGCTTAAACTTATTTAATAATGCAGAATAGAGAAAAATGATGTCTCTTTTTAGAAAGAAAAGAAAGATACATATATATATATACATATATATTTTAACGAAAGAAACGCACCTGGAAGTCCTAACGTATAAAGAGATATGAGAGTACTTTTTTATAAATATCCTATGTGCGAGAAATAATTGGTATATTGTTGTATCTCGTGAAGTGGCGACAATGTGAGTGACAGTACCATTACCTCATGAGAAAGTGACACGAATGACGCGTATTAGTATTCAATGCAACGCACATTTGTGTAACGCCAACTTTCGGCTGTGTTAAACACATATAACAAAGTCACACAAAAAAAAGAAAAACAAAAAAGTAAAAGAAAAAAAAGAACGATACAAGACCCACCTCACGATACATCATTAATGAGAAGAGATCTCGCGGCGGTATTTTTTTAAATAAAAACAGAAGAGTGCTTGTATTTTCGCGTGACGGGATCCGAAAGGGATTGTGCGACCTTCTCCTTTAAACGATCTTTCATAAGTGTGGTTAGCGAGACGAGCAAAACTTTCTACATATATTAGACGATGTATATATATATTCTATTACATATTACGTCTATTATATGAAATGTTTAACGAAAAAAAAAAGAAAATCAACGGTAGTTCGCGTCGCGGTGGCCCCTGGGATCGTTGAGGTCGTGCGCGCGATCTCGACTTTGATTCCATCAGCAGAACGACGTTTAATGTTGTTTTCCATCGCTCATCATTTCACTTGCCGCGCGGACGCCGCTCTGTAATGAATTTTAAGCAGATTTTATATACGTGCGCTAACAGTTAATTATGATCAACGACGCAGGCCCGTTTGAGAAACGGACGAATTCACGCTTCTTTCCGCACGAGTATCTCGCTAAAGGTCAGCTTGTTGAGAGCAAACGAGGACACGACGAAAAGATGTTGGAAGTGCCAAAAAAAAGATAAGGATCAAAAGTAAAAAAGCAAAAAGAAAAGACGAAAATTTAAATGGCGAGACACTGAAGAGAGTGTTCTCTACATTCGTTTTTGCATATCATACACTTGCTCATACGTGGTACTACAGTCTTTTACGGTGTTTCCTAGGCTTCATAAGTGTGGAAATCTTCCGAGTAATACTGAGTTTTGGCAATATTGGCACTTTCTTTTATCGAGTCTTCAGGCCATGTTAAACTGTCGATAACGCACGCGCTTTCTTTATATGAATGGGCTCTTCTCTATAGCGGGCAAGCATCTTCGCAGCTCGACGATGAAGTTTTGAGATCGTAAATGCAATAAGGATGGCATCTCGACGAACATGCGGCCAGAGAGAGGCGAACATATTGACTGTACTAACTAGTCAACTTCTTCTAACACGATTCGTACGAATAACGTGTAGCCCATATTTCCTGCGTGAATTGATTGTAATAACGAAACCTTTTCCTGTGTGAAGATATACGCACGTCCCTCGTTTGTGTGAGAGCTTATACATGTGTATATGTTCGTTCCAACGATCCTTAATTTATTGTATTTCCCTTCTTATTCATAATTTCCCTCTTGCAGTTCATTTATTTAAGTTTATTTCGTAAAGTAATTCAAATAATTTAACCGGCGAGTTCGCTTTCCCTTGCGTCCTCGTCGCATTCTTGTGCGCGCGTGTGCGAGGTGATAACGACTGGTAAGAGGTTTAAACAGCGGAATGCGTGGATCGTGCAAGAATTAAAGGAGCCATATGCACGTCAAGCGATAAAGGAAACGCACAAGTCGCAGCGTTTATCGACAATTTTTTCCATTTGAAAGTTTATAAAAGTTTTCTTGTTTAATAGCGATACAGTGCCAAACTATGTATAATCCATGAGAAGAAATATATAAAATATATATATGGATTAAAAAAATGTCTGCAATAAATGAAACTTCCATTCCCAATTCTAAGTAAACACAAATGTCATCATTTCGTGGTTAACAGCAAAATTTCCATTCCGATAAAAGAGTTAAGTTTTCTTCTCTGTTAAAGAATGTTATAAAATCAATTGAGCTACCGTTTAAAATAATAGTTCGATAAATATGTCGTAAACACACAACTACAACTGTGAAAATAATTTTCGTTGGGTAAGGACAATGAAAATACCTCGACAAAATATAACAGGCCGCAAAAGCTTTGTATATGCAAGAGTGTTCATCAAACGCTACTTGTTTCTCTACACGTTCCATCGTTTACATTAGCATCGTGCCAGTAATCAAATAGACAGAGCAGCTAGAATGACATGTAACTGGAACGGATAACACAGCGCGTAGATCATTGCGACACTTTATACAACGCGAAGAGCCCCGTAGCGATTTCTCCGCGCCCGTTATTTATTTCCGCACACACCCTGCCGATGAACGGCTGTATCATCAGGGCGGGTGCACTTTGCATATATGCAACTAGGCGCAGCATAAGTCAACCACTCGAGCTATCTGTGTCAGGACAACGGCGTGTAGAGGGAAAGGTCGTAATTGCCACGCAGAGTCTGTTACGTGTCGGCATGTATTTAAATTAAGTCTCATTTATTTTGCATAATCTTACGTATCTTTACACACAGCTCAAGCTAATCTACGCGAAAGAGCGTCGCGGAACATTGAGAATCTCAGTTTACCCGAGGACGCCGTACACGTGGATGCTCAAGTTGGCGTCGGCAGGCGATACGCGTGTAAGGTTTATCGGAAATCGCGCGTTTCCCGCCTATTAGGTTCCTCACGACATTTTATCTTTCTCCGCGTGTACGGCGATTTGGCCGCGCCGGTGGTCCGACATCGACCGGGAAGATAAGCTTAGCGACGGACGCAACGGTATAAAAAACACGAAGGAGTAAAAGGGATAAGGGCCAACAATATTTGGCTAGCGAGCCTCGAAGGTTCGCGCGGTGCAGCGGGCTCGGATCGGTTACGGTCGCTCCCCGGCGGAGCGAAGTCTCGGAGGAATCTTAATCCGCACAAACGGACGCGATTATCAATTAATCAAAGGCCCCTTCGAGCGCTATCACAAGTGGAGAGGAGTGTGCGCCGAGCTGAAATCAGCTCTCTCACTCGCGGCAATCGAGTCCTTCCTTGTCCAGAGCGCGACGCGCACGTACGCAGAACGTCGTTGTCGCAGATTGGCAAATCGACACTCTTTCCCCGGGCCGTGAAGCGATTGCTATCGCACATACATACGCGAAGCTCGCTTCGCGCAATACCGGCTGAGCTACGATGCAGTCTTTTTGTCGTCCAGTCGACTCGATCATCGGTCCTCGTGTCAAAAGTGCTGAAACAATGTCTGATCACAATTTCAAATGGCTCCTCAAGCGACGCTTGGCGAGAAGCGACTTGGCTTCTCCGGATAGTCGTGTAAACAGCATCGTTCGCGCGATCGCGGTTAACCCAACTCGCAGGTCGGGTACGATCGTCAGTCTTAATCGCGAACTAGGGAAAGAAAAGGGGAATCATAGATCGCAATCTCGAATGGTTCTCCGAGTAATGTCGCAGGTACTTTAGCAGGGATCAATATATAGTTCGCGATTCGCAGGACATCACATCGCGCGCACGTACAACTTTTGACCATAGGTCAGGAGTTCATGGGGCAAAGAAATGCTCGAGATTGCGGCGTCGTTGTCTGTTTCTGTTTCCACATTGATCTCTCGATCTCGAGACTTTCCCTCGAAGCAATCGGTCCAGGATGTTGTTCTAAGGACGTTGATACGACCGGGATCGCCTCGTGTGCTTCTTTCTCTCAGTGACGATACGTCAAACGGCCCCGTACTCCTCACTCGACGGCGAATCGTCACTGGGCGACGGCCTGGGTGGCCTGGGTGGTCGCGGCGGTCGATGATGGTGCAGCGTGGGCGCCGGCCGCCTCGGCGGTGGCGGCGGATGCGCTCCGTAGGACGTGTCGTCTCCTTCTTCGCTGCTAGGCGACGGCGACGGTGCTCGGTCTTCCTGTTCCTGCAGTAGTTGCCGGAACTCTTGAATCGACTCGTTCAGGGACCACAGCTGGGACAGTAGCGAGAGGTCAAGCTGCCGCAAGCCGAACTGCAAAGCGAGAAAGCGAGAACAATTACGATTCGCACGTGTATCGTCGCACCACCTTTGTTGCTTGTTCACTTTAACCAACTCGACCTATTTATGACAGTAACGTCGATATGTTGACAGTCCAATGTGCTTTTGTTCTATAACTTTTAACAACAATATCGTATTGGTTAAACGTCATTGCGCAATTATTATTAAGTCATTTGCCTAACCTAGCTATAATGTGTTATACCTACGCGACGACGCGTAACGTGCGCGCACGCATTAAAAAATTACAAAATAAGCGTGCTGGACTGAGAACACGAGTTTAAATTTCGACATTGCAGAAAGAACATACGAAATGTATTTTCACTTTTTTGCTCTCTCTGTTTCTCTTTTCTAAGAATATTATTACATATTGGGAAAATATATCGAAAACCACTTTTTCGTATTCACAAATTCTGTATCGAGAATTGGTGATTATGAAAGTCTCAAGTTCCAATCAGAGGTAGCTTACCTCCATTTATAATCATTATACGTTATTTACTCCTGTTTTTATAAGAACAGAAAGATCAACACTAACATTGAATATTCTATTTCCTGATCGTGATTCTATTTTCCTCGCGTGACTCATGATATTTTTCTATTATTCGTAGACTATCGTGAAATTTCGCGCGGGGCCCGGCACCAAGACGAATCGCGACACTGCGTTTGAGTTCAGGCGCGTTCACTTTTACCATTTCACCATACGGTCGCCAAGGTAAAATATTACGTAGCGATTTACGGACCGAAACAACGCATTTCCAAGCAACTCGGCGGCTGCCCGGCCGCCGTGGGAACGGTGGAAGAGGGAATCGTATAGGAGAGACGCAAAATGAGAATGGGAATGAGAGACGCCGGCGGAAAGCGCGACGAGAAGGAGGAACGAGGCCGAGCGCAAAGGACGACGGAGCAGAAGAGAGAACGAAGGTGAAAGAGAGCGACCGAGGAAAGGGGAGTCGTCGGGGGACAGGGGGAAGGAGGAAAGTCACGCCTGAGGGAATGCAGCGTGGGAGCGGCTGTGCCAGTTCGCTTCGTGTGTCTGGATTGACTATTAAATTATTAGCCTAACTTAGGTACGAGCGCCGAGACGTTGGCGCGAACGGATCATCATGAGCGCTCACCTCCTAGGAGAAATCCTACACGAAGTCCCGTTACTGTTAATTTCAGATGGGTTCACCGCCGAAGGTTGCCGCGACGCCGAGTAAATATGTGGAAACGTACAACGATACGATACGATACACGATGCGGCAATGATCTCGTATGTGAAACGCGATGGTAATTCATAAAATCACTGGATCAGCGGAATACTCGGAGGCTCTCGTTGCGTGAAATAATCGTCGGAAACATCGTCGAAAGAGCGTTATATAAAATGATGTGCGAGAAAATCATGCAAATAACATCGTATGAGAGACGATCCTCCGCTCGAAGTGAGCACTCTTTCAGAGTTAGATGAATTAGCGCGATACTTAATCGCGACGTCGCCAGCTGACATGAGAGAATGCGCGACGTATAGAGTGACAAAAGACACGTGAAGTCTGTTGGTGCAGCGAACGCGTAATATAATACCTATTAACAAGTGGAACTTCTGCACGAAGCTCGAGGTAAGTGATTTTTCGAAATTAGATAGATAAGCGCATCTTAACAGCGACGTCGCCAGCCGACATAGGAGAATACGCGATGTATGAAATGGCAATAGACACGTGAAGAGCTTGTTGATGCAGCGAACGCGTAATGTAACACTAATTAAAAAGTGGAACTTCTGCACGACCAGTGATATAAGCATTTTCTCTTTCTCTATCGCGCACGACACCTCGATCTTCCCCGCCGCTTATGATCCCACGCGTAAAATACGTGTTCATCGAGCTCCGTGATTTATCCACACGCGATCGCGGCCTCGAGGTAACGGGTCGGTCGGGTCGCCTAAACAGACGCGGAAGAATCGAGGAAAGAAGACAGAGGATACACCAAGACCGAGTGGAAAACAACGACGGTTCATGAAACGTGCTCGGAATGACGACGTGACGAAATATCAAGGATAAGGAGTGGCGAGAATCGAAGCTCACGTCGAGGTAACAGTGGGGCGACGCGAGAAGTATCTCAAAGAAGAAATCGGAGACGAAGAATACAAGTATGAAAATTCAGAGAAAGAGTAACGACGGAAAGAAACGACAGAAAAGTCGCGGAATAAGAGAAAAATGCCTCAAGTAAAAAAGAAAAAGCACGGAAAATAATGGACAGAGGTGATAGGAAAGATTAATAAAGATTAATAGAGAATATTTGGCCATTTGCATAAAATATGTCGGAAATACGAAATGTGTCAGGTCAAAGAATTCAAATGTTAAGTATGAAGAGGGTAATCGCATGTGGCAAGGTACTAATGAGCGAATAGTCAGTGCAAGACTTATTTAAAGATGTCACGATCGATTGCAACGGAAATATCTTTCTTTTCTTTTTTTTTCTGAAGCTGCGCGTGTTATTAGTCGCGAACGCGTGGAATTTTCCTGCAGGCTCCGTAAATACGTTTCGCGTCGCGGCGGATGACTAATGGTTTCTATTGAAGTTAATGGCTGCCGCTAAAGGATGCACAATTTCAAACTACTTTGAACAGCATCGACAATTTAACGACCACGTCACGAACAATGTTGCTGCGCCTCGTAAAATGCGTACAAATATTTTTTCATGATCATTCTTAGAGAATCCCTAGCTCGTTTTCTCGGTCTTCGAGTCTTCTCCTCGTTGTTATCGATCGTATGAATAGTTTAGATTATTTAACGATCAGGCGTGATATTATGGCTGAAAAGACTATCGGAGTATTTTACTTGAAATTTCATCGTCAAGAGATGGAGTATGTCATGGCTATAAAAACTCTTGTTCTTCAATTACGGTAAAAAATTCGAAAAATCTTCGTAGATCGCTCGTAGGTCGTTAAGTATGTGATATATTAATTAAATATACGTGGAAGAAGAATATTACGAAGAAAGAGATATCACGCGTTCAAGGATCAGTCGGAAAATCAGTATCTAGTTGTCTTTGCGAACCCATTGCCCATGTAGCGGGGAAACAAACAACGAGGAGTGCGTTTCTTCGATCATGCGTTGTTCGATAACAACGTAAGATGATGCTATTCCTTGATGTTCAAAGGAAAGAGAGTCTTCGAGCAATTCTTGGATGAGTACCATTTCTCTCCTGAGCACCGCCAACTGGGTATCCAGGGTGGTGAGTTGCCTGGCAGGTGGCGACGGCCTCGACGACGACTGCACCGACGTTTTACCGCCTCTTTGGGATTTACTGGACGACCTCGTGGGCGGTGGAGGTGGCTCTCCGTTCTCGCTACGTCCGCCGCTCAGGTTGAAGCCGCTCAGACTTCTCGGTAACGGGGGTAATCCTTGCAGAGAAGACATCGCAATCCTTTCTTGTATACTATGCAACAAATAGTAAAGACACCGGTCTTAACGAACTGGGATTTTACTTTAGCAAGTCAGTGATTTAATGACTTGATTTCTCAATGATTTTTTAATACTTCTATGAATGAGAATGTTTAATGATTGAGTATGTATTCACGAGTACTTGTAATAAGAATATAAATATATAAAATATGTAAATTTATATAAATATACACTATAAAATAAAAATTGTATGTTTGCTACTTTAATTTTAAGCGAATTCTTTCTCTCGGCGTGGCCGCCCACGGCTTTTCGATTATCGATAAAAATAGAAGTTCGAATGGAATTCACGACAGTGATGAATTCGGCAGTTTCGCGACGTTAAAGAAAACTGCCGCGGGACGAATGTTCTTTCCTGCAAACTGCCAAGGGCGGAGTATACGATAGCGGAGGCAGGAAACTGGGGATACCGTTATACGACCATTTCACGAAATAAAAATCGATCTGTCTTGATTTAGCTGCCTGCGGCTAAGAAGGCGGGCGATTTGGCGAATGACTCATTTTACTCCGCGGTTATTATCACGCGTGCACGCGTCGCGGAAGTGTGTTCGTCCGATCGTACATTGTTGATGCCGATGTATGCGTTTGACGCGATTCTGCGATCTGCCAGTCTCATTTTATTTACCGAGTATTGGGATGAAGAGATTTGATACGCTGCCAAACGCAACGATACCGACTTGATATATATACAATCTACATATATGTATATACAATACATATATGTACATACACACATACACATAGATATCACTTTATTAGCGCTTAGATAGATACCACTTTATTAGCGCTTAGCTTACAAATGTCAACAATCTCGTAATTGACTCATAGTAGGAAAAAGACACTCAGAGAGACTCAAAGTTTATACTTCTCGTTTCTTCTTATCTTTCTTGTTGTTAGGTACATGTACTGATTTCTGAAATCCTCGACTATATTTTTTCCCATTTTTATATTCGTGCTGTAAAGTGAGATTTGCAATTTTGGAATCTTGTAATCGACAAAATCACAGAAATAGGTTATTCTCTTTTTAGAAGTTTTTATGAAAAAAAAAAAAAGATTAAAGAACAGAGTTTCGGGATTTTCTAGAATTTCGCGACCGAGAGAATCAGAGATCGGGCTACTAAAAAAAAAAAAAGAAAAACAGATAAAAATGAACTATCCATGAACGTACTTTGTCGAGCGTTCGTTACACTAACGAGCAGTTAGTTTTTACGGTCGGTCAACACGGCATTTATCGTGCGATACGGGAAAGCGACGCAATCGTATTATCGGATCGTTGCATTCAGATCTGCAACGAACCAATGCGCAGATATATGGCAACAAAGTGGCGACCCTGTAGCTATCACGGCCTTTCTACAATTAATACGTCGTTAATAACGCACACACACGCACACATACAGGTACGCTGTGCATGTAGTAGATCATCGTTTATATAACAGATTTACGCCGCTAACTCGGCGGTGCTTCTATTACTCTTATTGCGCAATCAAAATAATAGCGTTTTATAGTTTTTCAAAATGAATTATTATTATTATTAATCATTTTCCATATATTAATTAATTTTCACTAAAGGAAATGTTACCAAAAAAAATGCGAAGAAAAGCCTTATTCCAGTTTAGTAGCGCGAAAGTAGTAGTTGAAATTCGCTATCGCGTTGCGGCAACAAGCAACGTACAATAACAAGCAGCAAAATAGCATTTCTTTCAATAACGCGGTTCCGTTCTACCTGATGAAATCAAGGTCGGTAATTCTCTCCTCCTCGCGATGATCGTAGCCGTTAATACGATCCCCGTCGACGGTGTCACCGTTGCCGTCGCCGTGCAGGGTGATCTGCGTGGAGGAGTAATGGACCCCCGCCTCCAGCCAGTCCTGCCGATGGATATTATTGTCGCTGTCATTGTCATTGTTGTCCTCGTCGTCGAGCGTGATTTTACGCTCTGCTTCGTCGTCGACGACCAGCACCGTGGTGGCGCGGTCAACGCTCGGAGCGCCGTTTGTCGGGCCTGATCTTTCGATTGCAACCTCGGCGCCGTTTCTGATAGCCTTTTCACTCGCCAAGGACGCTTCCTGCTGCTGCTGCTGCTGCTGCTCACCAGGACACAATCTGCACGTGGGCGTCGGCCGAGAGTCGTGCCCATTTGCCTCTCTCTCTGGACTGCCGCTGCATTTTTCTGAGTGACTCACCGCGACTCGCCCGCCGCCGGTGTCCGGACTGGAGGACGCGCGATATTCCTCCTCGAATGATACGTTGGTCCTGGCAGCCACCGGCGGGGCTCTCGACGTAGCCTCAGCCCGGTCTCTCGAGCCGACAACCGCCGCTTCGACCTTCTCCGCAGGAGCTATCGCGTCTTCTTTGCATCGACTTCGATGATCCAGTGGATTAATCTGATCCTTTCCGCGGGAGTTTCTTCGGATCTCCGACGGCCTGCGCGGTCGTTGGTCTTCCGTCAGGCTGTTTTGCTTACGTACCACGTTACCCACGAGATTTCCCATGGAATGAAGCGCTTGAGACTTTTCCGAGACGCCGCCACTCGAGTCTTCATATTGCTGGTGTTGGTGATCGTGAGACGAGGCTAAGATCTTGCCGTCGTTCGACTTGCGGCGATCCGTAGGATTCTCTGAGCAGCTGTCCTCAGCGTTTCTGTCGTCAATCGTCGCGCCTTGGCCCTGCTTGCGATCTTGTTGGTTCCTATCGTTGAGCACTGTTTCGTCCTTTGCACACTCTTTGGTGGATTCATACACGATAGTACGTCCGCCTGTTGGGGACACCTGTTGTTGTTGTTGATGTTGTTGTTGCTGTTGCTGCTGATTAGATCTCCAGGGCTTCGTGTTCGGCGGCGGTGGGGCTTGTCTGGTGGGACAGGGCGGCCTTGGCGATCTCTTAAGGGCCTCTGCAACCACCTGCCGACTCGGCCGAGGTGGCACCGGAGGCGGATGAGGCCTCTGACTGGTTGCCAGCTGCATTCCGCTGTTTTTCGTTTCGGATCTAACCAACTACCATTCTCGACGGTGACACGATTTCGATCGTGTAATAATGAAAGTATACGCGACAGGTGTATGCGGCACTTTAATGTATAATTACTGACGTTAAATTGGAAATCAGCTTCTCTCAGGATAATAATTCATCACTTTTATTGGTCAATCCATAGGGTTTCACACCGGTTGGCGATTTCGTGCACTCACAGTGAGACTAAATTTCGAACTGTTCACTGTAAAAATATATGCGTCATTCGGAGGCGTGACCAAGTCGATGAACGAGTCCGTGACGGAATTTTCAAGTGGAAGATAGTTTTGCGATTATCATCGGCAGCCCGTTAGTTTCTCGATCGACTGGCCCGCTCGCGCCCAACCGCAATTTCATAAAGGTAACGCTCGGCGTTACTTCGCAACGACTAAATGTCAGTGGTAATGCGAGGTACCTTCACCCGGCACGTGAGAGACGAACACTCCGCTCCGTAAAGCTTTTCACAAGATAACAGGCAACGTTTATCATCGTCTTTATCGCGCGCGCGCGCGCGCGCGCAAACCGTCGTCTTTGAGTGGAATGTATAAAACGCCGTGATGTACTCGGTGAACAAGGCTTTTGTGTACTCGGTAAACGCGATGCTTTTCGCGCCGGCGACGTTCGTGAAATTCCGACGTATCCCGAGGCGAATTCCTCAGGAATAAAAGCCACCTCAATATTTATGACGACAATATTTGATTCCGCTGTTAAAACGCCGCGATGAATCACCGGGTGCGCAGGCAGATAAAGCGATAATAACAGCCGAGTGTTTCTGCGAAAGTGTTCCTTCTTGTACCTCGCGTCTGCACCGACAACGTTGTTTCAGACACGCGCGCGTTGTGCTGCGGTTTCGTCAAAATCGCTGCCCGTCCGAAACGCACGAACGAGTGTGGGCATGGGTGAGAGCTATTAGGGATGACAAGAGCGTTGTGCAATGTTGCGCATGCTTCTGCACTGTTGCGCCAGCGAAATCACCGCAATCTTGCCGCATACCCTCGACTCACTGTTTCCTTCTCCCAACGTTTCTCGTTCCCTCGAGTCCACCTCGTCGTCCTCTTTATTCGCAAGCGGGTCGCGATCACGATGCCCCCGCGATATCGCCAGTGTAATTTTGCATACAATTCCGCGGGTACCGCATCGTACGTAGTGTTCTTTTTTACGCGCACGTGTCCGCTAGTGGCTCCAAGCTCGGCTTGGTCATCTCTCCAATCTCCGAAATTCTCCTTCCCGTTGGCGAGCGCGCCGCAACCGCACAATGAGTCGCGTTTGCGAAATCGCGCCGATGCGCTTTTGCATACAATTCCGCAGTTGCAGGCTACATCTCGTAAATATCTCCGGATACATCGACTCGTTAACGATCCCGTGGCCGGCACGCGGTCTTCAATTTTCTATAAAAGTTGCTCGTTTTGTTCCTTTCTCCTCGGGTCCCATTCAGTTCGATCATCGAGATGCTGTTCTGGCCTCGATACTCGCCTTTCTATCTCGATCGCTCGTGCTCTCTTTTTGCGAAGAGTGTACAAAAGTAGACTTCCCGACGATCCTGCTTCTCCTTGCGAAGGCAGCAACCTGGCTTATCCCGTCACGCGAATAAACTTTCTATCGCATACTGCAAAACGCAGCGTGCACCAACTGTTGAACAGATGCAACGATGTTGATCATGAGTGTATCGGTATCTAGCTGGTGGCTGGTGGTTTTATCGCAGAATCGCCTTTCTCTCCCTTTTGTTTCTTTCTCGATCTCGATCCTTTCCAAAATCTAAAATAATCCAACTCTCTTTGTCATCGGTGAAGCGAAAAGTTGCTCAACGAGTACATCTTCTTATCGTCGTAACACGCGATAACACTGAAATACCCAACGTCACGTATTATTATTTCAAACAAGGAGAATGCGAGGACGTCTTTCTCGGTGTAAATCACTTCATCCTAAATCGCACATCACACCTGCGCCTTCACCGTCACCTCTGACGTCCCGTGCGACGTCACATCGCGTCTTCTCTACCTTTCAGCGCACCAAAATGCCACGCGATCCTCGCGGCATCGTTTTCTAACGCACCAATAAATCAGGAAAACACTTGTCTCCCAACCAATATTCCTTTACGATAACACTCCAAAGCGCTATCGGCTCGGAAGTAGCGAAAGGAAGCATTCGAGAATTCTTCCTTTCGTTGTTTTTAATTCTGCTTTTCCGCAAACCAATCACGAAAACACTCTGTCGCTGTCGTACGCCACGAACCCGCGAGAAACAACCTGAAGCGACGCGCACCGAATGCCTTCGGACAGGTAGAGCTAGAGCAGAGACGATCCCGAGACCCCAGGCGGTATCTCCGCGATCCAGTATCTCCTCCTTCGTCTCTCCCTACTTCGTTCAACCGATCGAGCTTCTATCCTCTCTTTCTCGACGAACCGACCGCCGCGGACTGACTTGGCGATCCCGCAAACATCCTTCGCGATCGGTGGCCACGTGACTGGTCGAGCTCGAGTTCTCGTCAGGTAGTTAGTGAATGTGTGCTTTGCGTGTGAGCGAGCGAGCGAGCGAGTGAGTCAGTGAGTGAGTGAGCGAGTGGATGAGTGAGCGAGGGAATGAGTAAGTGAATAAATGAGTGGCTATGCTGTGTATGTGTGGAGGGCATCAAGAGGGAGCAGAGGTAAATGTAAAGAGGGCCTGCGGTTGATGGCGGTGGCGAAGACTGAACACGGCCTCTTAGCGATCTTAGCGTAGTGATCCGCGCCGTGTCAGTCCCCGATCGGATAGGGAAAACGCGACGCGGGCGTTTAGATCGCACGGAGCGTTACGTAAAATCGGGAGATCTGGGGAAAAAGCGGCTGCCGTTCTAAACCTCACGGAAAGTCGCGGTCACACTTTCTAGCGTCGCTAGTAGACAGCCGGAGTTTCTTCTCAGGGATGTTATTTTTCCCGCGTTATTTTCACGGCGCATTCCACAGCGTCTCGACGTTATCCAAGCTGGTTTCCGTCCGTTCGAGATATCGGAAATGAGAATCTACATTCCAGAGGAGAATCTCTCGAGCTTTTCGATTTTAGAGAACGCCTAAAAATGTTGGAGGATTAGACAATTATTATCATTAATTCTCGCTTCTCGTGAATATTCGTATGTTTCTTTTTATCTTAGCTATCAAGTTCGACGACAAATTCGTAGAACTCGTTAAAGAGAAACGTGATATCACGATTATAGAACCATTCAATTACGGCAAGATCTACTTGGCCGGCGAGTCCTAATTAAATACAGTTGCCCGAGATTGCTTAAGTTTATGTAAGCCGATTTCGCCGTGACGCGATGGAATTACAAGACTCACGCCACACTTCACGGTAACCGTCACATACCGCTCTTTTTCTTTACATCATATTCAGCGCAGGTGTAACAGTTAATTACCCGCGAATACGTTTATTTCGCGAGCGCATTATTCGCATCGACGCAAATGCGATTTGCGATAAATACGAACTTTCTGGGATTTGTGGGACAAGGAACGTTAGCGATAATCCGCATGTCGACATCCGCGTCTCAATGGAGCACAGATATCATAATCTCTCGTAATTTCTCGTTACCATGTACATGATGATAAAAAATACTAACGCAAAATGATAAAATATAATCTTTCACAGATGAAAGTCTGTTTTTTCGTACTACTGAAAAAAATCTATAACTGTTCAATCTTTCGCCGTATAAAAATTTCTACAACAAGAAAAATCGTGAGTCAGAATCACGCAAGAAGAATGTCCAAGGCGAAAATAAATGTTTTCAGCATAATTAACAAATATAATCTATCATAGATAAAGGTCTATATTTTTCCGCGCTATTGAACTCAAAACTTCAATATTGTTCAAATATTCGCCATGCAAAATTTCCATAAGAACAACGAGGAAATTTAAATGTTAGCGCGAAAAAGGAATGTTAGGGCGGAGAGAAAATTCTCCCCCGTGTAATCAACACGACTGTGGTTATTAAGAGAGCCATGTCATGTTATGAAACAAACCCTTGGGCTCAAATCTAACCGCCTCTCTCGGGGTCCGTCTCGCTACCTTCCATCGTTGAGCGTAGGTGTGCATCGCGGCCGGTATCGTCGTGGTATCGCGTGAGAGAGTAACCCGTAGCGGACGAGAAGGGCAAGACGGAGGAGAGAGAGAGAAAGAGAGAGATGGGTCGTTGGAGGAGAAGGTGAATAGAGTGAGACGGCGAAAAGGGAAGGGACCCATTAGGTCCCCTCCGCCTCGCGACGAGCTGCCCCAGCGTGGAGGTCCGCGTTCGCCAGTGCCGTAGCTTGCGCGACATTCTCTCTACAGCTCGTCTCCGTTTCTTCTTCTCGTGCTTTACGTTCGAAGATTGCGGAAGAAAGATTCCACGGAAGCGTCATTATCCTTGATTCGCGTAATTCGCTTTATTAGCGAAGCGACTCCCTGACTCTCCCCTGCTCGTTCGCGTTTGTTTTAGCGCCGCGAGACGCGGTATTGTAAGAGTTAAAAATAGAATCTAGACGGAGCATCGTGCGATATGCAATTAGAAGTTAATAAAAGGATGAGGAGTTTTATATGTGCATCTCTTTATGCAAAACAGACGGACGTCGTATTTGTATCGCGGCTCCTGCGTGCAGATGCCTCGTTCGAGAGATAATTTCAGTTGCGTTTTTCCATATCGTAACTCGACATAATGTTTTCCGGGTGTTCCATCCGCCGACATTGGAGCGCAGCGAGGTCATGGAGATCAGTGCGGCATACTCGGGTGATATCGCGCGTTTTGCGCGGGGTGACACCGCGATGATACGCGCGGCACGCGTCGTTATCAGCGCGATCGCATTTATCGTCCGCCCATTCACAGCGCAATTAAGCCCGAAGTGGCACATCTCGGCCGGGAAACGCGGGCTCGGAATTTATTCACACTCTGTTTCGCGGCTCACGCAAAAACGACTCGTTCCACTTTTGCGGCCGATCTCCCGCGATAAAATGCAAATCGGCGCCCGCTCGGCGCGGTCCGGCCGGTTCCTAGACCGGTCGAAATCGGATCGTGAAGTGTCGCGCGCGGAGACGTTCCTGCCCGACCGCTACGCGGCCGTCAAAACAAATTCGACTTCTGGGTCACGGGGTTTCGCGAGATATGCGGTCGAAGCGCAAGTTTCGAATCCCACAGCGCGGAAGGTGCACTATTTTTTATCCCCCCTCCCCTCCCTACTTTCTTACGTCCGAAGCAGCTTACATCGCTTATATTTACACGTTGAGGGAATGTAAGTGTCGAAGAAATAAAAAAAAATATTTATTCGATATAGTTAATAACATATTTACCTATTGTGATATATATATATATATATATATATATATATATATATATATATATATATATATATATGAAATATTCTACAGAGAAAATATACATTTTTTTAAAACCTTAACTTTTTTCATGAAAACATTTGTTTATTCTATTTAAACAAAAAGGTCATTTAGATTTGAGTAAATATGTTATTAGTACCCACTGCAATAAATATTTTTTAGTTTTTAAATGTTTCTTTCTGTCAATTTTGGCTGTGTTTCAAAATTACTGATAGCTGCTGATAGTACTGAAAATATGAACTATAGCTTTTCAGTGCTGGCAGTAAATTTTGGAACACAGCCATAGTCTTTCAAGACGCTAAAGAGACGACAAACGAATAAGTAGTATCTCTGCAAACGCGACTTTTAATTATGTACCTTTATTATACCTTTCGGTATGTTCACGATTTTCTTCCTGTACCGCAAATAGAAGTTTGACAATTGTTTTTCACGTGTTCAGAAATAATACTGAAAAACTCTACTTAAGCATGAAGTAGCGTACTATTCTTATCACTATGTACTTTGGCCGTCGTTTTACCTGGTCGTGCTGATTGTAATATGCAGTGATAAATAAATAGGTTTTCTCAACATAAACGTTAAGTCGATTCACGAAAGAATTGATAAGTAAACGAAGTAAAATCGTCGAGTGAAAAAAAAGAACGGAAAAAGAAAGAAAAAAAGATGTTCGCGCGATGCTTGTGCGGCTTTCGTTCACAATCTGTTCGCGTATTCATGCTCCGCGTTCCACTAAACGCGTCAGAATTTCCACGTGCGATTATGTCGGCGAAATACGCGCGTTCTCGCAATTAAAGCGCGGAAAGGAGCACCGATGCGACGGTGAGACCGCAGCCGCTGCCGAGGGAACGATTATTCCACGACTATTACGTTACATTCTCGGATATACGCGGAGCGTACACGTGAGAGACGCAGACAACACATATCGGCTTATTAATAATTCAACGAGTCCAGGTGTCACCTAGAGCGCCGTAGGTATGACAAGAGGAGCTGATCTACGAACGCAAATAAGCGTGACGCAGCACGGTCAACTTTTCGAACCGTGAGCATACCTCTTGATCACGAAGAAAGTTAAAGAAGTTTCACTAACTAGGTTCGAGTTGCCGTTACCGGCGAATCGTCGCTAAATGGACGACTATCTAGTCTCGCTATCATTATACAGGTTTGCTGTGGGACCCTGTATATGGATGTAGTTTCTACGTCGGGAAAAATGTCAATTGCAAGCTACTGCTGAAATAAGAATTTTTCTAAGAAAACTTAATTAGTACGTGCAAGGAGAGTTTTATAGAGAGTAGATTGCTGCGGTTTTGCTAAAGTGTGTAAGTAAATCTGTGAGTATCACAGTAACTGTGACAAATAAATATATATAGTAAATAAATATATATAGATAAGTGTCTAAAAATAATAAATATCTGGAAAAATAGTAAATATCTGGTAGTGTATGCTAATAATATATTTATCTTAATCTAAACTTTTTTATTTAAATAGAATAAACAATTGCTTTCATAACAAGTTAAGGTTTTCTCTTGAGATTTTGGGAATATATATATTTTCTTATTTGAAAGATATTTTGTACATTAATATATTTATACTAGTTTATATTAATACAAGCGAATGTGTTATATATATACCCACCGAGAAAATATTTACTGTTTCTTAGATATTTTTGTTCCCTCAATATGGAAAGTGACGGTTTCTCAGACTGGTTGCACCGGTCACAAGTGTGCACGCGGAAATGCACATCGGGTTGTCATGCGGCAGGCGAGATTAATCATCAACGGATGGATGCACTTTAGATAATACTCTGAATTTAACGCACTGGCTATTTCCTCGGGAAACGAATGAGTCATCCGTTGGGTCGCGCGAGGCTGGCGCTGATCTTTGAACGCTTGATATTCGATGAATAGTCTGTTTGCACGTACTACGTGTCCGATCAATCTGAGAGACATATGTTTACGAGCGTGTCACAACGTCACGAAGCGCGTCGCCAGCTGCTGATGTTTAATCCAGCGGCTCTTCGGGTCGTTCGCGCTCGAAGTCTGTTTAACACGACAGAGTCTTTTTTTAGACTACATAGACAAAGGAGACAGACAATCTGTTCAACTAGCTCGGTTGCAAATCGCGGGACATTGATATCACGGGCTCCTCGTATAATGTCAACTGCACGACAACCTCGAAAGTGACCGTTGTCAATTATTATTGTCACTTCCAAGGCTAAGTTTGCGTGTTGCACCCTTTCGTGCTGAAAGCATCATTCTATCTTTATCGCTCATTACATGCCGAAGGAAGATAGGATGATGCTTTCAGCAGGAAAACGTCCACGACGAACTTGGCCCAAGTCTCTCCAACGGGAAACTTGGAAGTGTTCCGGGGCGAAGGACGGACGCGTTACCTGATTACTCGCTGCGTGCTGACACCTGCGGGCCTGTGCGCAAAGCGTCGGTTACTCCTTGAACTTCCACTCCTGGCGGCACATTGGGCAGATGTGGCTGGTCTGCTGGGAGTGCAGCCACTTCATGATGCAGTGTATGTGGAAACAATGCGAGCACTGCCCCCACACTGGAACAAGAAGTCGCGTCGGTCGCGCGTTAAATTAATTTCGTCGTCGGTATCCGACCTCGCGCATGGAACGCACACCTGGCGGTGGGGGAGAGCGACGGACGGACGGATGGACGGACAGACGGACGGACGAACAGACATACAGACGTGCGTGCGTGCGTGCGTGCGTGCCTGCGTTTGCCGTGTATGCGCATCGATACGAGGGGCCAGGACGAAGGCTAGGGCGAGAGGCAGCAGTTTATCCGCCGGCCGGGCCGTCGATCGATATCTCGCACCGACGCGGGCACGCGCTCTCGCCGTGGCGGCATTTTACAAGTTGCGAGAAATCTGTTTTTTGTCTGTGCTTCTCTAAAGGTCTCTCCGGTCTACAAACTTGCATAATCACATATTGCACATGCATAAAGAAATTAATTATAATGCATGTGGCAAAAGGATGTCTTTTATATCAGACATATGATTGGTCAATTTCATTGTGTATACATGTACTATGCAACTACGTTTATCTGGGTAGGCCTTCACACTTGCACAATATGTTCGAGATCGCACGAGACGTCACGTTTCATGAAGTAATGCAAATCAAATTGCGATCACTTTAGAAAAATCCTTCTCCCGAAATCCTTCTTTTTGCATCATTCTAGTAGAAGTACTTCTAGCAAAAATAATTGCAACGAAACGTCTTTCTAAGAAAGTTCTTCTCTTAAAAATAAGCAATTTGATTTTACATAGATTTACACAATTGTCACCAAGACAGAGAGGGTGTCTGGCGCACATCGTGCGCTATGTGCGTACATACATTATTGTTATAGAGAAGTCAAAGTAAAAGTTGAGAAAAATGCATGCGATACCTAAGGGACAATCGTCTCCAGGAATTTTGCAGTCCGGGCAGCTGGCATCGAAAGGCATTCTACAAATGCCGCAATTATCGTCGTTCGCTATCCAACGCCAGGTGGCGACTCCGGTCCAGCCTGAGAAGATAAAAATGAGTCTTACAGTTGCTGGTCTATAAGAGATATGCTTCAAGACGCTTCAAGGAACATATAAACATTGGATGTAGCGAACCTAACCATGTGCGCCAGATTAAACATTGCCCACAAATAATCTTATGATTGTCCATATATGGCATTGTAAACACTTGAATCTCAATCAAACGTTAAAGTTTCTCACAGTACTTACTTTTTATTGTTATCTTCATTTTGGCGTTGAGAGCAGTCTTAATTTCGGAACACACGTGTGGCAAATGCAACGGTGCGATCAATCCTCCTGCGACTTTCCCAACGTCCTCGAGTAGTGTGGAGAACGATGGTAAAGGGAATAATCGAAATGCGTACTTACAGGAAAGAGCGCGCAACCAACCAACTGCAACTGACACTGGAGCAACCAATGGGGTTACGCCATCTTGAAATTTTCAAATCGCGCTTAGACCATGCGACATTCTTGTCTAACTATAGATGTGCGCACTCAGATTGTGTTTCCTGATGTCTACAACATAGAAAGATACAATTACATCGCAAACTTACTATACCTACTATACTGCGCTTGGTTTTCATCTGAGAGTAAAGAAATAGTTGTTATTCTCACTTATTACAACGAAAACGCGTCGACTGATATTTCTCTCCGTGTCGTCAACTCTATCGAAATTCTATCGACCTCGACAATCTCGATTCTCGCTTCAGACTTGAAAAGCGACTCTCGCCTGATTCACGGCTATGCCAGGTTGGTGAACGATCCGGCATCTTTTTCCGCGTCTATTGCGTCGCAAATTGAAGTGACCGAAAATTCGACCGGTTTCCGTGAGCGCTCTCGTGGCGCGGCGGTGGCGGCCGAATGGAAACACTCCTCCCCGTCGTTCGCGAACGGTAAAGCGCCGCGGCGCCGTGATGCGCCGAACGAGAGCCACGACACGGCACGGAACGGCACGGCACGTCAGAGAGTCGCCGCGGCATTTGTCGTGCGGTGATGCGAGAGAAGCGCGCTGCTCGGTGGACCACCGCTAACGGAGCGAATCGCTAGTGCGCGCGCGTTCAGGGTAGAGCCGGCGTATCCGACGTGGCCGCTCGTTGTGGATTCGCGGTTGGTTTCTGTCACGAGTCGTCCGCCGAAAGTCGCGCTATGACAGGCCTGTCTCGGGCGTCGTAGGTCGTACAGCGTCGTATCGTGCATTCGGTCCAGTCGAGCGAGCGGCGGACCTTCAGCGACATGGCGGGCTTTCGGGACGAGGACAGAGCCCTGTTCCCGATCCAGAGCATCTCCGCGATCGTGCAGATCTTCAAGAATCAGCTGGAGAACAGCGCCGAGCCGGATCTCGCGCTGCTCTCGATCCTCGTCGGCGCCGTGGAGAATTCCCTAACCTGCAATCGCGCCTTCGTCTCTCAAGAGAACGTCGTCTATGATGAGCCGAAGTTACCGGCAGTTGAATACCACATCGCCGAGGCTCTCTACACCAAGTTCCACGCGGTGATCAAGGGTGCCGTCGATCTCACCGTTTATGACACCAAGTACGCCACCAGAGAACTCGTCAAGAAGGTGTCGGACGTGATATGGAACTCGCTCACCAGGAGTTACTATAAGGATCGCGCTCATCTGCAGAGTCTCTACAGTTACCTGACTGCGAACAAGCTGGACTGCTTTGGTGTCGCATTTGCTGTGGTGGCTGGATGTCAAGTTTTAGGTTTCAAGGATGTGCATCTCGCAATGTCAGAGGATCACGCATGGGTTGTGTATGGGGAGGATGGTACAGAGACAGTAGAAGTCACATGGCATGGTGCGTGTTACAAAGTTCCTTACAGGATTTGCTTTTTATAGCTGTACTGCATCTAAGAGAAATGTAGTAAACATACTTAATACTTGGTGGAAGAGAGAAGGGAGCAGAAATGTTTACAAATATACAAACAGTTTATAAAGTGCAGTTGTAAAAGACAGACCTATTTATAGCAGTAGCTGTGTTCAGTAGAGAAAGTTGCTCCGCTGCTGTTGTAAAATTCGTAAATCTGATTGGTGTATTCTCTTGATCTAAGCTGAATTTAGGAACATATATTGAAGCTGAATTTACGAATTTTATAACAGCTGTGAAACATTCTTTGTTAAATGTAACTATTTTCTTATTTGATTTTGCATTTCCTTTGAATCAAAACCATATCGAAATATTATAACTGTCATTCGATAGCAGGAAAAGGAAACGAAGACAAACGTGGGCAGCCAGTGGAGCCTGGTGTGGCATCTCGATCGTGGCTGTATGTGAATGGTCATGCAGTGGTGTGCTCTCGTGCTATGGAAGTGGCTACCATAGCGTCGGCCATAAACCCTAGTCTCAGTGCGACAGCTGATGCGGCTGAAGTCGCGTTGCTCCAACAGGAGTTGCTGTGGCTGTTGTATGACTTGGGCCATTTGGCAAAGTATCCAATGGCATTGGGTAACCTGGGTGATTTGGAAGAAGCTGCTCCTACACCTGGAAGACCACCAGCCATAGATCTCTTCCAGGTTTGTGCTCCTAAAATCATCAATCGTTGCTTTGGATCAGTAGTATTTATACTGAACGTGTATTAATTTGCGTGCAGGAAGCCATAAGATCAGCGAGGAAGTATTACGGAAATGCACACGTCTATCCTTACACTTATCAAGGCGGATATCTATATCGGCACGGACTGCACGCGAACGCATTATCATCGTGGGCAGACGCCGCTGACGTTTTGCGAAAGTGAGTATATCTTCAATGCGATCTTTTTCTCTCATCTCTTTTTTTTTGCACACTTCTCGCGTACTACATTCGTCGGCGCTGTGTCGCGTTCGGCGTTACGATGGTGCTGAATATATTAAGTGGCGCTTCATCAATATACGTCTGTTAACTTGTTTCTGTGTGCGACAGGTACGATTATTCACGGGACGATGGCGAGATATACAAAGAGCTAATAGAAATCGCCAACGAACTGATACCACATACGGTGCGCGCTGACGAGCGGCTGCTACGGCAACCCCGTTGCTTCGCGCACCTGCTGAGATTCTACGACGCTATCTGTCAGTGGGAGGAGGGCGCGAACACCCCAGTGCTGCACATTGGTTGGGCCCGGCCACTAGTGAACACGATTTCGAAATTCGACGCCGGTATACGCGCCCAGGTGGTCATAGAGTGCTACAGTACGGAGGCCAGGCAGGAAGAACAGGCGGCGCAAAAGAGAGAAACCAGCCCTGAGGAGACACTCAACAACAACAACAACAATTACTGCAAGACCAAGGAAAGGGGTAATGCGGCGCGAGATCTGATCAAAAGTCTGGAGTCCAAAGTACCATCCAACCCGGCGCCGACGCATCCTAGTATTCAGGCGCTGACGGCAGCCTGCAGCGAGAAAATACTTAACAGAGACTACTTACTGCAGGGCGGCGGCGAGCCGTTCGTCGCGCCGCCGGACGACGCTCTGCCGCCTGCGCCTTCGACATCCCAAGAGAACGCCGATCCCGAGGTGGAGACAGACTCCGAGAACGAGAGGCCGAGGGTAATATTATATAGTCAGAAGATGAAAGGTCTCAAGGATCTGCTGCTGGCGGAGAAGCTCAACACCAGCGCGGTGGTGTTGCAACTAACGGCGCAGAGTCAGGTGCAAATCGGTAAGAAGTCACGCGGCAGCGATGACGTGGGTGTCAGTCAGCGTCCCAAAAGGACACGTCGAGAATAGTATAAGATCTTGGACCGACGTTTCGGCATAGTAAAATATTAAAATAGTGCCACCGGGTTTAATCGACCCTCCGCGCAACTCGGCGAGTCCAAGTGGGATTACGTAATCGAACCGCGTAATCGACGCGCTGACGTTAAGGTATACCGACTTCCTCGCTCTCGGTTTCCCGCCGATGCTCCGGGGCGCATTACCATTCTCCTCGGATAGACTCGTCGGCATCTCTCGACCCGAGAGCGTCGTGATGAATATCGTGCCGTTTGATTTAAACCCTCCACGGTGCTCCTCGTTTTGCAACGGCGCCGCGGGTCCTTGCGAGACACGTTTACGTTACCGTCGGGGATATGTCGCCGTTAGACATGTAGATAAAGTAGATATGAAGAAAATTTGTAGAAAAGTACAAAAAAGTTTTCCCCATTTTAAGTTAATGGACGGGGTCGCGAGTCGCCCGCAGCTCGTCACAGTGGACATCTCCGCGGTTTGCCATTTTCCCGTTCGACCCGTTACCTCGTTGAAAAGTTCTCAAGTTTCTCGCTCGACATTGCGTCGTTTGTCCTTCTTCCCCGTTTATGGCATTACTTTATCCGATGTTGCAGCATACGAAGTAAATGGAACTTAGAAATACTTTCGAGTTTAATTCCGTTTATTACATCTAAACGTTATATTTCTTCAAATGCCTTTCCCACCACGATAAATCAATTTTATGACGCTTAATTGGCTAATATCCTGCTGCATATCGAGATACTTGATATCGGTGAGCTTCCGAGGGCATCGTGCACGACGTGAAGGAACGACGAAATGTTCGCGGCAGAAGCGCAAACGTGGAAGTGTCGAGCGGGAAGAGAACGACAGACGAGGAAGTGACTCGCTACCGTCGTAATTCAAATATTGTACGTGTAAATATCTCCTTGATTCTTCCACAGTGCGCAGAGCTGTGACTTGCGGTAAGGGAGATAGGGGGGGGGGGGGGGG